TCCCCAGCCACGGAACACAGACGCATCGCCAACCTTCCCCGTCCACAGCAAGGCTGGGGACATCGCAGGCCGAGAGACCCGAGGGTGAAGGTTGAGCTGATGCGCCGCGTACCTCACCGCAAACGGCCACAGAAAATTGGGGGCAGCCGCATGCATCATGGACGTACGAGCGACATCCATGACCATGCCAATGCGGCGCTCAGCAATCCCATTTTGCTGTGGTGAGTCCGGAAGCGTGAAGGTCTGGCGGATCCCCCGTGCACGACAGTAGTCCCGCAGAAGGCGAGAAGAGAACTCTCCGCCTCTGTCCGAGTGCAGACGCAGAACAGGAAAGTCCGAGCCGAAGCTCTTCCTGAGCTGGAGACGAGCCTCGCGGATCCAGTCGATCAGCACCTCAGTGACCGCACCCTTGCTGCGCAAGGGGAGGACTGTGGTGTAACGCGAGTAGTCGTCAACCACCAACAGGAAGTAGCGCTCGTAACCCTGCCCACGGACGGGGGCTGGGCCCCACACATCCATGTGAAGCGTCTGCAGGGGAGCCTCTGTCGGGGGGAAGTGGGAGGAGTGAGGAGTAGCCCAGAGGCGACCCTCGACACAGGGGACACAGGAAGGTCCTGGCCCGGAGGGGAGAGGAGGGAGAGACTGAGGAAGACCAGAGACAAGGACACGGGAAGCCATGCTCCGAAGACGGGGCAAGGAGGGGTGGCCAAGACGGTGGTGCCACAGGAGAGTCTCGTGAGACAGGAGGCGACAAGAACAGGGGGCAGACTCAGGACCTGACCGGGACGCAGCAGCAAGCACCTGACCCGACGCAGCCACCTGACCAGACGCAGGGACAGGAGGAGACTCAACGGTCAGGGTGTAGAGACTCGACCCTGGCCGACGCAAGAACGTGGCCAGGTGTCGGCCTGTGCGTGCCTCCGTGCAGTGGGTCACCCGCTGACTCGCAGGAGTGAACTGGTGAACCCCCACATCCTGCAGGTCCGCTCCACTCACCAAGTTCGTAGAGAACGAGGGAAGGTACAGACCCGACAGGGTGCCCGAAGGGGCAGCCGGACACGGGAGGACAGTGGAGAAGTGAGACAGGACAGGACCCCCAGAGGGGTCAGCAAGGGAGACCGCAACCGGCCGGCCGAGCGGCGTAAGGGTAGTGCGGTCTCGAAAGAAGGAGCGAGAAGCTCCGGAGTCAAGTGTGAAGGTGAGGGAGGACGAGGACGACGCAGTACCTGAGAGCGCAGTCTCACCAGTACCTGAGAGCACAAACGCACTGGCACCTAGAGCAGCAGCCTCACAAGCACCTAGCGCAGCAGTACCAATGCCCGGGTCGGGCTGGAAACAACGGTAACCCTCATTCTCCTCACTATAATCCACAACATACATAGCAGCAAGGATAGCATCAAAATCAAGATCAAAGATCGCTACACCAGCCCTTAGAAGCTCATCCCAGCGAGGGATCTCACTAGCCCCAGGGAACTGCTGACGCCAAGCGTCCGTCAGGCGGCCAAAGCAGCGCTGGGTGGCGTGGGCACCTCCACACTGCTCACCCGCGCGGTCGCCGGAACGAAGAACGTAGGTGCAGGGACCAGTACCCCCACCCCTCTGACGCCCAGCGTACCACTCACGAAGCTGCTGAGGCGGAGGGATGTCCCGCGAGCGCTGCTGCTGCTGCCGCTGCGAGCGCTGGCCACCACCACCGCCGCTACGCTGCTGGGTACCACCTCGACCAGCTCCACCTCCTCCACCACCACCGCCTCCTCCGCTGCCGCCTCCACCGCCTCCACCTCCGCCGCCTCCACCTCCGCCGCTGCCTCCACCACCACCGCTGGCACCACCACCACCGTCTCCGCCGCTGCTGCCACCACCACCACCACCTCCGCCACTAGTCCCGCCGCCACCCCCACTCCCTCCGCCGCCACCGCCGCCACCGCCACCGCCCCCTCCAGCTCCACCCGCGCCCTTGCCCCCCTTGCCCTTGCTGGAGCGACGTCTCCCACTAGGGGCAGACGCCGCGCCGACCGACTCAAGACCAAGCAGGTCGGCAGCAGCACCAGAGGCAACAGAGGGCAGCAAGGGGGAAGGAGAGCACCCCTCAAAGATGGGGGTGCGAGGGTCACCACGAGAAGCACCTACAGCGACTATGCTCTTCTCCGCTGCGAGGAGGGCCTTCTCGAGGAGGTCGACGGTGAGGGTGGTGGGACAGACTGCGAGAAAGTGGTCCCTGACGACGGAAAGGGAGTCAGGGAGGCGCGCGACTACGTAGTAGAGAGCGATGTACATGGGGGGGGGGGGTTCTTAGCGCAGAACTCAGCAGGAAGGGCGGCGCGGTAGCGAGTGTCACTAGTGCGGAGGTGCGTAATGAGGTCAGCGACAGTGGGAAAGGCAGAGAGGTCAGGAAAGAGGTAGGGAAGCATGAGACGGCTCAGTGCAGCAGTGGCAGGGGAGGAGTAGCGCGCAACTACAGCGTCGTACAAGGTCTGAGCACTCTTGTACTGACTAAAGTGCGCACGCTCAGAGGTAGGGAGGTGGCGACGCACAGCAAGACGTGCAGCAGCATCGCGGGTGGCCCACTTAGAGCGGACAGTGGGATCAGCATCAGCAGCAGGAGCAGGAGAGGCGCCAGAGGTGAGGTCAAAGAGAGAAAGGTCGTCAGCCCTGTCGCACTGTAAGAACAGCTGCAGGTCGTCTAACCAGACCTCAAAATCAATGGCGCGACCCTCAGCGTCAAAAGCTAGGACACTAGGGGTAGCCATGGCGACGACAGCGACGCAGTGCAAGCAGTAGGGAAAGAGCTCGCAGTGTCAGTGGGACTGTGGTCACCAGGCAGGGCAGGTCGTGCAGCTCTGCAGAAAGGCGGCTCAGCGACCGGGCGGCTCGGGTGCACAGCGGCTCGGCTCCCGGGCGGCTCGGCGGCTGGGCGGCTCGGGCGCAGGGCGTCTCGGCTCCCGGGCGGCTCGGCGGCAGGGCGGCTCGGGTGCAGGGCGGCTCGGCTCCCGGGCGGCTCGGCAGCAGGGCGGCTCGGGTCCCGGGCGGCTCGGCGTTGGGCGGCTCGGCTCCCGGGGGGTTCGGCTGCTGGGGCGGCTCTGCTGCTGGGGCGGCTCGGCCGGGAGATGCAGGGGCGGGGCCATCAGGTGCAGCGGCGGGTCGACCGGTGCAGCGGCGGGCCGGCAGGTGCAGTGGCGGGGCCGTAGGGTGCAGCGGCGGGCCGACCAGGTGGGGCGGCGGGCCGTAGGGTGCAGCGGTGGGCCGTGGGGTGCAGCGGCGGGCCGGCAGGTGCAGCGGCGGGGCCGTCAGGTGAAGCGGCGGGCCGCTGGGTGCAGTGGCGGGCCGGCAGGTGCAGCGGCGGGCCGGCAGGTGTAGCGGCGGGCCGGCAGGTGCAGCGGCGGGCCGGCAGGTGCAGCGGCGGGGCCGTCAGGTGAGGCGGCGGGCCGTAGGGTGCAGTGGCGGGCCGTAGGGTGCAGCGGCGGAGCCGGCGGTGGGGCCGCGTCAGGGGAGGCGGCGGGGCCGCGTCAAGTAGGCGGCGGGGCCGCGACGAAGCGGGCGGCAAGGCCGCGTCAGGGCCGGCGGAGCGGGGCCGCGTCAGTGGAGGCGGCGGGGCCGCGTCAAGCAGGCGGCGGGGCCGCGACGAAGCTGGCGGCAGGGCCGCGTCAGAGCCGGCGGCGGAGCCGCGCCAAGCAGGCGGCGGGGCCGCGATCAGGAGGGGTGGCGGGGCCGCGTCTGAGGGACAGCGGGGCCGCGAGGGAAATGGCGACCCGAGGGGTCGCTAAAAAAAAAAGGCGCGCCTCGGGGCGCGCTTCGGTGGGCCCTAAAAAAAAAAACGGTCCTAAGGAAGGACCCGCTCTATACCATGTGAAACAAGTGAACAGGAATGAAATGACTAAGTCAGGGTTGGGTACAAATACAACCCTAGAAAGCTGTACCCCATATGTGCTACCCCACTATAGCCTACAAACATGCATCAACTATGATAATCTGACAGAAGGGATGCGATGACGAGTATGATATGAAAGAAGAATGCCCCAGAGTAGTAAGAAAACACCTTAAAACCTGCGTCTCATATTTTCTAGTCCAGTTGGTTGGGCTAAAGCGTCTGTGATTGGGTAACGATAGGCGAGATTTGTGACGAGCAGTTTGAAAAACACAGACGAAACCTCAGTTCGTTCTGGGCAAAATCCAAACGAGCCCCTCAGGCGTGGACATCTACCACACCTAGAAAACACCTCCGGCAGAATCGCACTAACATGCGACCAATTGAAACGACAAGACACAATTCGCCCACCTTCACCAGGAAAAGCAGAGCATAACTCTCAGCCGTCATTCTTACTACTTCCGCTTAGTAGTTCTTAGGTATGTGCCTCCGCGAGCAAGATGCTGACCCGAGCACAGAAACAGGGATTAGCTGTCTACTAGCTCGCATTTCGGACCAGATAGTAGGTGACTTGCGAACAAGTTTGGTTGCGGATAAGGCACTACTTGGCGAGTAAGGAATCGCCCAATGTCAATTTACGCTAAGCGCGATTACGTGAAAGGAGTTGCCGTCCTGGGTCTGTGTGCGAGTGGCATGTGTGTGGGGTGTGTGCACGTGCATGCGTGCGGGTCTGCGTGCGTGCGTTCGTGCGCGTGCGCACCCGTGCGTGCGGGTGTGCGGGCGTGCGTGCGTGCGTGCGGGCGTGTGTACGTGCGCGTGCGCGCGCATGCGTGCGTGCGTGCGTGCATGCGTGTGCGCGTGTGCGTGCGCGTACGCGTGTGTGCGCGCGTGCGCGTACGCGTGAATTCGTGCGTGCGTGCATGCGCTTGCGTGTGTGCATGCGTGCATGCGTGCGTGCGTGCGTGCTTGCGCGTGCGTGCGGGTGTGCACCTGTATGTATTCATCTGCGTGAGTGCATGTGCATAGAAATTCGCATGTCATTATGCCACACGTCCCGCAGCTGTCACATCCCGGTGCTCACACCTCCCGTTCCCCCAAATGCCATCTGTGCCTCGAGACACAACACACATCCTTTTTACGGGGACACCTGACACCTGTTTTTTCCCTCCCCTTCCCTCTCTCCCCTTCCCTCTCTCCCCTTCCCTCTCTCCTCCCTCCCTCTCTCCCCTCCCCCGTCTCCTCCTCCCCTTCCAAGAACCTTCTCCATGTTCCTTGTGCTGTGATTGCTTCCCCCTCCCCGAAGCTGAGGTGCATGTAAGCAGGGGAAGGTGAGGAGGGTGTGGGTGTGGGCTATGGTAAGAGAGGGGAGGGGGAGTGGGAGGGAGGTGGGGATGTTGAGTGCTGTGGTGGCGGCCATGAGTGTGGAGAGCCCTTTCCTTCTCGCCCTTCTTCTTTCCTTCTCGCCCTTCTTCTTTCCTTCTCGCCCTTCTTCTTTCCTTCTCATCCCACCTCCCCATCTCCTCATCCCACCTCCCCATCTCCTCATCCCACCTCCCCATCTCCTCATCTTACCTCAAATTATCTCCGCTCTGCTTCCTCAGCATGTCTTCTTCTACTCCCGCCCCCCCTTCCCTCTCTCCCCTCACCTACCCTCTATCCTCTTTTGTTCTCTCCGTTCCCCCTTTGTACCTGCCCTTCTTTGAATCCCTGGAGCCTTCCTTCCTCCCGTCACCCCTACCTTTGTTCCAGTTACAAGCAGGACTAAGCTAGTCCCATGCGAGCCTGGTGAAACGGAAGGGACAGGCAAGCAGCAGATGCACGGCCAGATGCATGATGGCAAAACCGGTGCTAGAGGAAAGCTGTACCCCGTATCTTCAAGATATTACACAAGTGTATACATTCAATAAGTTCTTCATGTCAGTGCTGTGCACAATTGCTACTTCAAATATGGATGCATTGAAGCAATCTGAGTATCAATTGTAATATGCTATTGCAAGACAAGAGACTAGGAGAGTTTGGCAAGCCTACTTTGATAACAACTGAGTTTTGAATCTAGGCAAAGTAAAAAGAGAACTGGAGGATGAACTGGTTCTTTGTGGCGCCATGCTGAAACAAGCACATCAACAGGTGGGGGGAAAGGGGGGAAGCCGAGGGGAGACAAGTGGAGAAACAGAGGTGAGGCGAGGCATGGGAGGAAAGCGAGGGGAGGCATGGGAGGAAAGCGAGGTGAGGGACGAAAGGAAACCGAGGGGAGCCATGGGAGGAACCCGAGGGGAGGTATGGCATGGGGAAAGAAAGAAGGCAGGGAGGAAGGGGGGAAGTGATTGATTGGCGGCATAGTGTGTGAAAGCGGGGCAAAAAGGTGGAAGGGATGAGGGATAGGGGGAATGGGGGATGCAGGAAGGGAAAGGAGGGTGTGGGGAAGGGAAAAGGGGATGGGGAAAGGGAAGGCGGACGGGGATAGGGAAAGGGGATGCGAGAAGGGAAGGGGGATGGGGGGGAAGGGAAGGGGGATGGGGGAAGGGAAGGGGGATGGGGAAAGAGAAGGGGGATGGGGGAAGGGAAGGGGGGGTGGGGAAAGGGAAAGGGGAATGCGGGAAGGGAAGGGGGATGGGGTAAAGGAAGGAGGATGGGGAAAGGGAAGGAGGATGTGGGAAGGGAAGGGGGATGGGGGAAGGGAAGGGAGGTGGGGAAAGAGAAGGGGGATGGGGAAAGGGAGATGGGGGAAGGGAAGGCGGATGGGGGAAGGGAAGGCGGAGGGGGATAGGGAAGGGGGATGGGGAAAGAGAAGGGGGATGGTGGAAGGGAAGGGGGGGTGGGGAAAGGGAAAGGGGAATGCGGGAAGGGAAGGGGGATGGGGTAAAGGGAGGAGGATGGGGAAAGGGAAGGAGGATGCGGGAAGGGAAGGGGGATGGGGGAAGATGGGGGGAAGCGGGATTGGGGTGAACGGAAGAGAAGGGGGGGAGCGCAGCAGTCAGGCAGACGCGCGCCTCCCGCCTGCTGAGTGCGCCACCAGACATGCCCTGGGAGTTGCATGCACGGGAAGTGCGGGGGGAGAGGAGGAGCCGTCGTGATAGGGTGAGCAGGGGGGTAGCGGGGGAGTCAGGCAGAGGCGCGCCTCCCGCCTGCTTTGCCCCAGTCGGCGGTGGCATGGCTGATGCGCACTTCACGCTTTGAGGCGGGGCGCGAAATTCATTGGTGCAAGATTACAGCCTCGCCCCCAATGCGAGCTGCGGAACGACGCCGCGTTTTATTGGGGCTGCGTGCTAAACAATCGCATGAGCCAGCAATGAGGCTATTCGCGCTTTGGCTGCTCTTCTCAAGACGTCCAGTGATTTGCCCTGTACCAGAAGCAACCCTAAAAGGTCGAGAGCTTTGATTATGCCGTGGCATTTGACTGACGCGGTCGATATCTTCGTTTTTGCAGAGCTAATTAGCAGCTCGTGCTCACCGTCCTGACGAGTAGCACACACTCGTAGGTGGTGGCGAAGGAAAATGCCTCACGTCGCCTCGTCGAGTTCCTAACCGTAAAGCTTTATGGTGGACGGTCCGCACTTTACGGATATGGTCCGTTTGCACTCGCCGCGCATGAGCTTCAATGCTGGTTCTCGCTCTAAATGTTGGTGATACGACGGTCCAGTTGGTGGCGGCATTGCTGCGCCATATTATAGGGTCGCGTGGGCGTTTTCTGCTGTCTATATCTAGTGTAATATGCTTGTTAGGCTGCGTGAGTTCCTCCGCTTGTTTGCTGTTCGAAACTGCGTCTCTAATTTCCTCGAGCTGGTGGAATATGTTTGTTCCCCCTGGTGCTGGAAAATCGCACAGGGTGGTTGTGTCGCACGATCGAATTATGCGATTAGCATTTTGCGTCGTCAGGTGCATTTCCACACCTTGGGGTGGTGCACGTTCAATTGCTGGGGCTGGCACGTACAAGCCTTTCCTCTCGAGTCTCTTTCCCAACCTGACCCCAACCCTGTGCCCACCAACAGTGGTCGTTGGGCGACCAAAAACTGGTTACCCGATTTCAACCATATTACACTTGGTTGGGGGGGCGGAAATATGAGACGCGGGCTTTAAGGGTGCATTCCCGACCTCGTGTCATCCGGCGTTGGTGTCATCCGAAAACTTTGGAACTCACGCGATTGGCCCAAAGTTCACAACAGGCCAATCATGTGCGTTCCAATTTTTTCGGATGACACCAACACCGGATGACACGAGGTCAGGAATGCGCCCTAAGATTTGAATGGAAACGGAGCCTTGAGGTGGATAAAACAAGAGGACCAGGCGGGTATTGAACCCGCTAATCAGGCTGAAAGATTGAAGGTTTGTGCTACTGGTCCTGAGAGGTCTGGTTTAGTTGTTATTTCTATTTTAATGCGCAAATCAGCCATTGAGCGTTTGTCTCGTTTGATCAGAATCGCACATGGGTCGCGGAAAGTGCGAGGCGGAGGGCAATCGGAGCGGTAATCCTAAATCGAAGCGGCACAAGTCGCGATACCTGAACGCTGTGAGCCTTTAGACTTATGTCGCGACGCATTAGTCAACATAAACTGACAAGCGTGTAACAATGTATTTCTTGGCTGAGAGACGAATAACGACGTTAATCAGCGACAATTCTGCAGGCGCGTGTCAGTCGCGTGTCAGGCGCGTCTCAAGCACGTGTCATTCGCGTAGCAGGCGCGAGCCATGGCAGCATCCGTTCCGCGTCGCTGCTATGAGCTCGGCGGCGTGCGCGCACGAGTCCGATCCAACCCATTTTCCCCCTTCCCCTTCCCCCCTTTTCCCTTCCCCCCCTCTCCCCACCTTCCCACGCACACTCCGTCTGCCCTCACTCACTCTTGCCTCCTCGTGCCGTCGTGTGTTCCCCGCGCCGCCTCCAAATTCTCCCTCTCTTTTCTCCAGCAGCCTCTCCCGCTTATCTCCATTTCTGATGCACCCAAAACCCGTAACTTTTTGTTGTTTTTTCGCTCTCCCTAGTGGCAGCAGTGAAACAGCCACTAAGCTATTTTGGCAGAGTAGTAGTAGTAGTAGGAAGCGTTCTTAGGAGAATTTCAGGATGAAAGTAGTAAGATAGCTTTACAAGAGATCATATGATGGCATACATTTCAGAGATGCATCCTAATATACTAGGATACTAGCATAGGCGCCTCGAGCTGGTCGCTCAGGCCGCCATTATTATTCCTAGAGCTAACAACAGCAAGGCATAGTCACTATGATTATTTACAAGAGATACTAGCCTTGTTGTCATATCCTAGAACCAATAAGCATAGCCTAGGAATTCACTAAACACATGGGCAGAGACTATTTGTCTTGTTGTCGTCCACACTATAGTAGATAATGATGATCATGAGCACCGTTGGAAGTAGCCATAGCTGTAGGAAGCTATGCTTGCTTGTGCTGTCAATTGCTTTGCTGCTCTAATGGAGTTCTCTGCCGTGTTGTGTCCAGCACTAGCGTGCTCTCTGGAATTGTTCCCAAGGTTGGAAACTGAGAATTACGAGCCGCACAATTCAATGTTGGATTCCAACATTGAATTCCCGAAATGTACTTAGGACGTGTTCCGAATTCTGGTTCGGATCACAAGGAGCTGAGTTGGCGAAATCGAGGGAGGCGAGATCGCCTTCGTCTTGTTACAAGCAGGCAGCAGCAGGCAGGGAGGGAGGGGGAGTGTAGGTGAATAAAATAAAAATGTTTCTCCCTTTCCTCCTCCCCGTTCTGCTCCTCCTCGCGTGCCCGCCCTTTTCACCCAGAGACGGGGGGCGAGCATGACGTGTCAGTAACGGACAGGTGAGGGAAAGGAGTGCCCGGTTAAGTGTGTTTCTTAGAGAGCCAGCTGGCTCAGAGCCCTGTTTACACAGAACCGGGGGGCGAGGGGGGGGCATAGCGAATGGCAGCAGATAGAGGGGGTGCAGGTGAAGGCATAGCGAATGGCAGCAGATAGAGGGGGTGCAGGTGAATTGAAGATGCGTTTCTTCCTTCTGCTCCTTTCCTCCTCACTTGCCCGCCCTGTTGACCCAGCGCCGGGGGGCGAGCGGTAGCCATAGTGAATGGCAGCAGGGAGACTGGCTGAACGACGGAGTGCAGGTGAGTGATTTGAAAGTCGTTTCTCCCTTCTGCTCCTCCCCATTCGCTCTTCCCACGACTGCCCCTCTCCTCCTCCCCCTTTTGTTCCCCCCCATACTGCTTTTCCTCCCCCTTATGCTCCCCCCCCTGCTGCTCCTCCTCTCCCATCTGCTCCCTCCTCTTCTGCTCCCCCCCCCTTCTGCTCCTACCTTCTGGTCCCCTCAGAGCGGGGGGGGAGCTGGTCCCATAGCGAATGGCAGCAGGGGGTGGCTGGTGTCGAGTGTGACTGGCAGGGAGAGAGAGTGCGGGCGGGAGATTGTCAACGTGCTCGATGAGGTGAGGCGCACAGGAGGTGAGGTGGGGCGCACAGGCGAATTATAGAACATGAATTATTGTGCATATGTACTAGACTGGTTTAAAATCGAGGGATCACAGGCAACCTTTCTTACCAGTGTATCAAGTTAGAGGGAAAAGGGGGATGTATCTGCATTCTTAACCAGAAGAACTGTGTATATAGACTGTTTAACACTGTGTTCATGACTGTGGTGTGGTCATGACTGTGGAAGGAGAGGGGGAGAGGGAGGCAAGCACTGGGGAAGGTGGCTAGTGAGATGAGCAAGCTGCTCATCTGACTGAGCTGATATTGCCTTCCCCCCAGTTCTCCTGAAATGACTTTTGAGTAGAGTCAAAAGTCACCTCGTTACACTGGTGAGGTCAGCAAGCTGCTCATCTGACTGAGCTGATGGTGCTTTCTCGGAGAAGGCAAGTTTCTCCCCTGTTCGCCCCACACGCTGTGGTGCGACAGGCTGCTGGCTAGCAAGGTGGAAGGAGAGGGGGAGGCAAGGAAGGACTGGGGAATTCGGCTAGTGAGGTCAACAAGCTGAGTATCCAACTGAGCTGATGGTGCTCTCTCCCCTCCTGATGGTGCTGTCACCCCTGATGGTGCTGTCTCCCCTGATGGTGCTGTCACCCCTGATGGTGCTGTCTCCCCTGATGGTGCTGTAACCCCTGATGGTGCTGTCTCCCCTGTTCGCCCCACACACAGCTGTGCAAAAAGCTGCTGGCCAGAACGGTGCAGGGGGAGGGGGAGGCAAGGACTGGGGAAGGCTTATCTGCGGGAATTGGAAGGGGGGGGTCGTGCATTGATGGCCTGCTGGCGAGTAAAGTGGCGGCACTCCAGAAACAGGTGAGTGTGGTGTGGGGAATGAGGGTGTGGGTAAGGAGGGAAGAGGTGCGCGTGGTGTGGATGTGGGTGGAGGAGGCTGGCTCTCGTGGGATGCAAACGCCAGAGGCTGAGTGTCATGGAAAATGAGTGTGGGGCTCTTGAAGAGAGGGGCTGGCTGGCAGGCATTCAAGTGGCTGAAAAGACGCGGAAAGAAATCTAGTGCTGTGTATTGGAAAGTCTGGTTTTGTGAAGGTGAATGGTGAATGTGCTAACCTCCCTCTCTGCAACGAGGTGAGTGTGGTGTGAACAATGTCTGGCTCTCCTTTCATTTCATCTGCAAAGCCTGCAGGATTTTCAACTGCTTTGATCATCGCACCTGGTCTCACTCCCCTTCTCCGTTCCTCCCTCCCCTCTCCTTCACTCTCGTCTTTTTCTTTCTTTGTTCCTTTCGTTTAGTGTTCATCTTTGTGCAATTTCCTGGAAATTTCCCCTCCTTTTCATGCTCCCCTCCTTCCCCCTCTCCCCTCGAATCCGTTCTCCTATCCCCTCGGATTTGGTTCATGAGTGTGTGGGTTATGGGTGCAAGGCGCTGCTGTTCGTGAGAATGCTCAGTAGAATCTCCCATCTCTTTTTATCTCTCCCTTCCCTCGAGGCTCTGATTTTCCTCCTCATGCATTATTCTCCTCCTTCTCCCCACTTTCCCTTATGCCCCTCACTCCGTCCCTCATCCTGCCCCTCTTTCTGTCCTCGTCCTGCCCTGCCTCTTTGTCCTCCAAGCATCGGTTCCTGAGTGTAGACTCCGGGTGCAAGGCTCTAATGTTTTGTGGTTATGCTCAGTTGAAACCCCCATCGCTCCCCTTCTCCTTCCTTGTGCCCCTACGATTGGGCCTCCCATTAACATCCCGCAGTCTCGGTTCCTGAGTGTGTGGACTCTGGCTGCAAGTCGTTGCTGTTTCTCGAGAATGCCCACTGGTTACCCCCTTTGCTCCTCCCCCTCCCCTCGTCCTTCTCCCTCCCTGTGCCCCTACGATTGGGCCTCCCATTGACATCCCGCAGCCTCGGTTCCTGAGTGTTGCTCTGGCTGCAAGGCTCTACTGTTTGTGAGGATTAGAGAGGGTGCCAGCTAGAGGGGGGAAAATGGGGTGAAGGATGAACAGGAGGTGGAGGAGTAGTGGCAGAGGGAGAAGGAGAAGGAGGAGGCGAAGGAGAAGGGGAAGGAGGAGGGGGCGAAGAACGACGAGAATGGCGAATGAGACAAGGAGGACGAGGAGGAGGAGGAGGAGGAGGAGGAGGAGGAGGAGGAGGAGGAGGAGGAGGAGGAGGAGGAGGAGGAGGAGGAGGAGGAGGAGGAGGGAGTGGTAGATCAGCCTCAGGAGAAAGAGGTAGCAGGAGGAAAGGAGGACGCAAACAAAAAAGCGTAGGAGTGGCGGAGAACGGGGAAAGGGGAGGCGGGACAGGGGGAGGGTATTGCCGTGTGAGTTGGCAGAGATGGTGTTGTGGCATGGCAAGGCAACCCAGCAGTCAGCCACTCGGTGCGTGCAAGGCGGTGGGTGTGAGGTGGCTTGTAATGTGGCATGAGGCAAGGAGAGCAAGAATAGAAGGAGCGGAGCAGGGGAGAAGGGGGGAGAGGAGGGGTGGGCAGGGGAGAGGGCTTTGAGGCGCCTCAAAAAGGGAGGCAGGGGAGAAGGGGGGAGAGGAGGAGATGGCAGGGGAGAGGGAGGGGCGAGTGTGTGAGTTGGCAGAGGCAGTGTGGCGGCATGCCAAGGCAACCTTGCAGTCAGCCACTCGGTGCGTGCAAAGCATGGGGAGCGAGGCAGTGGGTGTGAGGCAGTGGGTGTGAGGCAGTGGGTGTGAGGCAGTGGGTGTGAGGCAGTGGGTGTGAGGCAGTGGGTGTGAGGCAGTGGGTGGGAGGCAGTGGGTGTGGGGCAGTAGGTGTGAGGCAGTGGGTGTGAGGCAGTGGTTGTGGGGCAGTGGGTGTGAGGCAGTGGGTGTGAGGCAGTGGGTGTGAGGCAGTGGGTGTGAGGCAGTGGGTGTGAGGCAGTGGGTGTGAGGCAGTGGGTGTGAGGCAGTGGGTGTGAGGCAGTGGGTGTGAGGCAGTGGGTGTGAGGCAGTGGGTGTGAGGCAGTGGGTGTGAGGCAGTTGGGTGTGAGGCAGTGGGTGTGAGGCAGTGGGTGTGAGGCGTGGGTGTGAGGCAGTGGGTGTGGGCGTGGGTGTGAGGCGATGGGGTGTGAGGCAGTGGTGTGAGCAGTGGGTGTGAGGCAGTGGGTGTGAGGCAGTGGGTGTGAGGCGTGGTGTGAGGCAGTGGGTGTGAGGCAGTGGGTGTGAGGCAGTGGGTGTGAGGCAGTGGGTGTGAGGCAGTGGGGTGTGAGGCAGTGGGTGTGGAGGCAGTGGGTGTGAGGCAGTGGGTGTGAGCAGTGGGTGTGAGGCAGTGGGTGTGAGGCAGTGGGTGTGAAGGCAGTGGTGTGAGGCAGTGGTGTGTAGGGCAGTGGGGGTGTGAGGCGGGGTGGGGGTTTGGGGGAGGCAGTGGTGGTGAGGCAGTGGGTGTGAGGCAGTGGGGGTGGAGGCAGTGGGTGTGAGGCAGTGGGTGTGAGGCAGTGGGTGTGAGCAGTGGGTGTGAGGCAGTGGGTGTGGGGCAGTGGTGTGAGGCAGTGGGTGTGAGGCAGTGGGGTGTGAGGCAGTGGGTGTGAGGCAGTGGGTGTGAGGCAGTGGGTGTGAGGCAGTGGGTGTGAGGCAGTGGGTGTGAGGCAGTGGGTGTGAGGCAGTGGTGTGAGGCAGTGGTGTGAGGCAGTGGGTGTGAGGCAGTGGGTGTGAGGCAGTGGGTGTGAGGCAGTGGGTGTGAGGCAGTGGGTGTGAGGCAGTGGGTGTGAGGCAGTGGGTGTGAGGCAGTGGGTGTGAGGCAGTGGGTGTGAGGCAGTGGGTGTGAGGCAGTGGGTGTGAGGCAGTGGGTGTGAGGCAGTGCCGCGGTAGGTGAAAGGTGCACCTGCACGGTGGGTTGATCAGCTGGTGGTGGGTGCAAGGCAAGGTGGATTTTGTCAAGAGAGATGGCTGGTGCCATCTTTGCCAAGAGAGATGGCTCTCTTGACAATGTAAGGCGCAAGGTGAATGAATGACACTGCGTGGGACACATCAGCTCGTGGCTTCTGCCAAGAGAGATGTGTCCCAGTGTCAAGAGAGATGTGTCCCAGTGTCAAGAGAGATGTGTCCCAGTGTCATTCATTCTCCATTCATTTGCTCACTCGTGTGTGTTCGTTCGTTCGTTCGTTCGTTCGTTCGTTTGTTAGTTCATTCATTCATGTATCTAATCATTCTCTCACTCACTCACTCATTCCTGTGTTTCTTCATTACTTTGTTCACGCATTCATTCATTCATTCTCTTACCCCTTCCAGCTCCAACCTTGGCCTGACCCCAGTGGTAAGGTCTCTCCTGCCTTATCCTCCAGAGGTTCACCTCTATTTGCAGCCAGCAAAAACCACGTGCTATGACTCCTAGAAGAAAGGAGATTAAATACTAGAAGGCACCTCAGAGAGTCACTCAGCCTCCTCTCCCTTCTCCCTTATGCACCATTCACCCCCCCAACCCCCTCCCCCCCCCCCTTTTCCCCCACCACCACAGTTTCACCCTCCCGCTGCTCCCAGTGGAATCCACCTGCTACGCCTCCCAGAAGAAACCTTACAGAGCCACTCAGACTCCTCTCCATTCTCTCTTTTGCACAATTCAAACCTCCCCTCCCTCTCCCCCCCCCCCCCTCCTCCCCGGCCCCTTCTCCCCGTCTCCCCCTCTCTCGCCCTCTTCCGGCTTCACCCCCCAATGCAGAGCCACTCAGTCTCCCCTCCCTTCTCCCCTCCCTCCCTCCCTTCTCCCCTCCCTCCCTCCCTTCTCCCCTCCCTCCCTCCCTTCTCCCCTCCCTCCCTCCCTTCTCCCCTCCCTCCCTCCCTTCTCCCCTCCCTCCCTCCCTTCTCCCCTCCCTCCCTCCGTTCTCCCCTCCCTCCCTCCCTTCTCCCCTCCCTCCCTCCCTTCTCCCCTCCCTCCCTCCCTTCTCCCCTCCCTCCCTCCCTTCCCCTCCCTCCCTCCCTTCTCCCCTCCCTCCCTCCCTTCTCCCCTCCCTCCCTCCCTTCTCCCCTCCCTCCCTCCCTTCTCCCCTCCCTCCCTCCCTTCTCCCTCCCTCCCTCCCTTCCCCTCCCTCCCTCCCTTCTCCCCTCCCTCCCTCCCTTCTCCCCTCCCTCCCTCCCTTCTCCCCTCCCTCCCTCCCTTCTCCCCTCCCTCCCTCCCTTCTCCCCTCCCTCCCTCCCTTCTCCCCTCCCTCCCTCCCTTCCCCTCCCTCCCTCCCTTCTCCCCTCCCTCCCTCCCTTCTCCCCTCCCTCCCTCCCTTCTCCCCTCCCTCCCTCCCTTCTCCCCTCCCTCCCTCCCTTCTCCCCTCCCTCCCTCCCTTCTCCCCTCCCTCCCTCCGTTCTCCCCTCCCTCCCTCCCTTCTCCCCTCCCTCCCTCCCTTCTCCCCTCCCTCCCTCCCTTCTCCCCTCCCTCCCTCCCTTCTCCCCTCCCTCCCTCCCTTCTCCCCTCCCTCCCTCCCTTCTCCCCTCCCTCCCTCCGTTCTCCCCTCCCTCCCTCCCTTCTCCCCTCCCTCCCTCCCTTCTCCCCTCCCTCCCTCCCTTCTCCCCTCCTCCCTCCCTCCCTTCCCCTCCCTCCCTCCCTTCTCCCCTCCTCCCTCCCTTCTCCCCTCCCTCCCTCCTTCTCCCCTCCCTCCCTCCCTTCTCCCCTCCCTCCCTCCCTTCTCCCCTCCCTCCCTCCCTTCTCCCCTCCCTCCCTCCCTTCTCCCCTCCCTCCCTCCCTTCTCCCCTCCCTCCCTCCCTTCTCCCCTCCCTCCCTCCCTTCTCCCCTCCCTCCCTCCCTTCTCCCCTCCCTCCCTCCCTTCTCCCTCCCTCCCTCCCTTCTCCCTCCCTCCCTCCCTTCTCCCCTCCCTCCCTCCCTTCCCCTCCCTCCCTCCCTTCTCCCCTCCCTCCTCCCTTCTCCCTCCCTCCCTCCCTTCTCCCCTCCCTCCCTCCCTTCCTTCTCCCCTCCCTCCCTCCCTTCTCCCCTCCCTCCCTCCCTTCTCCCCTCCCTCCCTCCCTTCTCCCCTCCCTCCCTCCTTCTCCCCTCCCTCCCTCCCTTCTCCCCTCCCTCCCTCCCTTCTCCCCTCCCTCCCTCCCTTCTCCCCTCCCTCCCTCCCTTCTCCCCTCCCTCCCTCCCTTCTCCCCTCCCTCCCTCCCTTCTCCCCTCCCTCCCTCCCTTCTCCCCTCCCTCCCTCCCTTCTCCCCTCCCTCCCTCCCTTCTCCCCTCCCTCCCTCCCTTCTCCCCTCCCTCCCTCCCTTCTCCCCTCCCTCCCTCCCTTCTCCCCTCCCTCCCTCCCTTCTCCCCTCCCTCCCTCCCTTCTCCCCTCCCTCCCTCCCTTCTCCCTCCTCCTCCCTCCCTTCCTCCCTTCTCCCTCCCTCCCTCCCTTCTCCCCTCCCTCCCTCCCTTCTCCCGGTGTACCCATCCACCTGTCCAGCTTCACCCTCCGCCTGCTGCCAGTGGAAACCACGTGCTACACCTCGCAGGAGGAGATTGCCTCGGCCAGTCAGCCTCGTCGTGCCGCTCGCTAACCACCTCCCTTCCCTCCCGTCCCTTCATTCACCTCCCCATCCCTTCATTCACCTCCCCATCCCTTCATTCACCTCCCCATCCCTTCATTCACCTCCCCATCCCTTCATTCACCTCCCCATCACAGCTTCACCCTCCGTCCGTCTGCTGTCAGTGGAAACCGCGTGCTACGCGTCTCAGTAGGAGATTACCTCGGACATCCGGCCTCTCCCAGAGAAACCCTGCAGAGCCATTCAGACTCCTCTCCCTTCTCCCCTGTGACTTTTGAGTTGACTCAAAAGTCACCTCAGAGCCACACAGACTCCTCTCCCTTCTCCCCTGTGACTTTTGAGTTGACTCAAAAGTCACATCAGAGCCACACAGACTCTTCTCCTTTTCCCCTGTGCATCATTTCCACGCCCCCCCTCCCCCCTCCGCCCCGCCCCTTCTCTCTCCGTCCCTCCCTCTCTCCCATCTCCGCCCTTTGTCTTCTTCTAGTGGAGTGGAAGCCACTTGCGACGCCTCGCAAGAGGGAATTTTTAGTCGACAGAAGGTGACTTTTGAGTCGACTCAAAAGTCTCCCCGTCTCTCCCTCTCTCCCATCTCCGCCCTTTGTCTGCTTCTAGTGGGTGGAAGCCACTTGCGACGCCTCCCAAGAGGGGATTGGTATGCTCATTCAGCCTCCCAAGAGGGGATTGGCATGCTCATTCAGCCTCCCAAGAGGGGATTGGCATGCTCATTCAGCCTCCCAAGAGCGGAGGGGATTGGCATGCTCATTCAGCCTCCCAATAGGGGACTGGCATGCTCATTCAGCCTCTCCTTCCCTCTTGCTTCGTGCAAGCCCTCGCTCCAACAATTGTCCAACAAGAATGGCCCTCGCTCCATGCCATTCCTCCTTTCTCTCCAACAATTTCGCCCTCTACACCTCTCTCCTCGCTTCCTCCCCCTCAATTCCCAGCTTCACCCACAGAGCAGGCGTGATCGACACAGTAGCCAAGCTTGCGCCTGCTCCGCTTAGAGTGAATCCCTGCAATCCAGACAAGACCGCCATGCTGCAAGTGGCGAAGGCACGACATGCATGCATGCCCCATGGTGTTTGCTCATTAACCATGGTATGCCAAGCTTGCGCCTGCTCCGCTTAGAGTGAATCCCTGCAATCCAGACAAGACCGCCATGCTGCAAGTGGCGAAGGTACGACATGCATATGTACATGCATGCATGCTCCATGTTGTGCGCTCATGAACCCATGGTATGCCAAGCTGGGATATGTATCCCATACAGTGGATCTCAACAATTCCAATAAGATTATCAAGCTGGAAATGGTGAAGGTACGGCATACACATACGTGCATGAACCATGTTGTGCCAATCTCGGGCATGTGCCCCTATAGTGGATCTCAAATAATTGTACAAGACCATGATGCTTGGGGTGGATGAGGTACAAGATGCATACATGCATGCACCATACATGCACCAGGCTACGCATTCATCAACATGGTGTGCGATATGATGATGTCAGTACAATCTCTGGCGGTGTAAATCTTCCAGCTATTGTTCCAAGTTCATAGGCTTCGTGGTTTCGTGGTGTAGTTGGTTATCACGTCAGTCTAACACACTGAAGGTCTCCGGTTCAAGTCCGGGCGAAGCCACTTTCGTTGAGGTACTATTTCACTCCTCTTGCCCTTTTATCCTTCTCATATCTTCTCTCTCTCACTCTTCCTTGCTTCACAGCCCTCTATCTTACTCTACTCATTCTCTCCATACGCCCCAATCCACCCCTTCACTCCCTCTCTCTCCCATACCATCTGATTCAACTCCATCCTCATGGACTTCAAGCCCCTTTTTTAAGTACACAATGTTTACCCCATATTCCTCTCCCACCCCTCCCCTTCCCGCCTCCCGCCAGCTCTCTCCCTCCGTCCATAAACCTCTTACTCTTCCCCCCCTGTCCCCCCCTCCACCCCCACCCCCCTCCCCCTCTCCTCCACCCCACCCTTTTCTCTCCCTCCCTCCCTCCCTCCCTCCCTCCCTCCCTCCCTCCCTCCCTCCCTCCCTCCCTCCCTCCCTCCCTCCCTCCCTCCCTCTCCCCTAGACCATCAGTTTCATCTCTATCCTCACCGACTTCAAGGCCCTTGCCAAGTACACAATGTTTATCACATGTTACTCTTCTTCCACACCCCCCTGCCCCGCCTCCATCCTGCCCCCTTCTCTCCCTCCCTCCCTCTCCCCCAGACCATCTGTCTCATCTCTGTTCTCACGGAATTCAAGGCCCTTGCCAAGTACACAATGTTTACCCATACTACTCTTGCCTCCCCCCCAACTTCCCCCCAATCCCACCCACCCCCTTCTCTTATTCACTCCCTCTCCCCCATCTGTTTCATCTCCATCCTACCACTGTTGCTTCCCGTCCAAGAGCCTGGATCATTTCCATTAACTTTTGGGGCAAAGCATTGTCGTTGGCTCGAGTTGTTGGCTGGTCTCAGAGCAAGCATGACAGAATAGGGTGGAAACCGGTGCTGAGGTCACAACACGCACTCGAAATAGTAGTTCAAATGGAATGCCATCTATAATGATACTACCAAGTAGCCTTCACTGAGCCTTGAATGACTGTCACTTGGCAGGTTTAGATTAAATATTGCCAGCAAGGGAAAACATTTATTTGGTGGGAATTGAAGTGGTATTGCACATGATAGGGCCACTTGATTGCAGTCAAGGTGTTTACAAATATCTCTCCATGAGGGGTTATAGATAGATGCCAAGGGGGGCTTATACGTGGTTTTGGGGGGGGGAGTCTTGTAATCCAGATCACCATCATGCAGTCACATAAAATGCCACATTGGCTTCTCCCAATCAATCTACTTGTACAGATCCAGAAAGTGCAACTCTCACAATGGTGGAAGGCAAAACGTATGCCCCGAGTGAGGATCGAACTCACGACCTTAGGATGGCTCCGCCCAGCTGGCTGGGAGTCGGAATGCTATGAGACCTACGCGCTACCGACTGCGCCATCGAGGCTTGTTCCTTGCGAGCAAGATAAATTTATTAATCATTTTTGTTTTTTACGGCTCACCTCCAACACGCAGCTGAAACATGCCTGCCGCCCACAATCAGCACCGTCGATTAACCCCACACCGTCAGCTAGTCGCTTGCATCCGTCAACTGGCTCTCGCGCTATGATGCAGCTTCGGATGGCAATCAGAAGTCCCACCGTCCAGCTTCCACTAGCCTTCCTCAACCGATCCTTTCTACCTCGTCGCGTAAACCGTTTCAGAGAGGGCCCGTTAAGTTCACACCTTTTAGGTATCTCCATCTCACGTCCGTCCTGTTGGAGGGAAACGGCATCCCAGGCTTTTCACCTGCAGAAGCTGTCGTATCCAAAGCTGTCAGCATCTCTGTTTCACAATCCCATATTGTCAGAATCAGACACAGAATCCGTACCACCTTCTGGTGAAATCAGTCATAGCTCTCGTTCCGAATCTGATCCGTCCCGTTGGGCGGCCGTATACGACAATGACCGCCGCCCGCTCTGCGAGCACGCGCCAGCGGCGCTCGTGCCGCTGGACGAGGTGCTGACGTGGCAGGCGGAACAGCAGCGGCGGATTGACGGTGAGTTCGGCGACAGGCTGGAGCAATCCGACGGTGGACCTTCGAGAAAAGAGCTTAGGAGGGAGTTAGAATGGATGCTAGAAGATGCAACAGCTGGGTGGGTGGAGGGCGTAATCACAAGGGAGGAGAATGTTGATACTTCTAGGGAAAAGGGTTTGGTGGTTCAAGGAACTGGGCAGGGGGAAGGGGAAGGAGAGGGGATGGAAGAGGGGGTGGAGGGGAAAAGGGTGGGTTTGAGAGAGGAGGGTGAAGGGCTCGGTGAAAAGGAGTGGTTGAGGCGTTTGAAACGGTTGAATTGGAGAGACGTACAGCTGATGGGAAATGGCGTGCACGGGGGCAACAGCAGTAGAAGCAACAGCCTTTTCACTCCCCCTGGAACAAGAATTACCAGCACCACCAGCACCACCAGCACCACCAACACCAGCAGCGCCAGCAGCACCAGCAGCGCCAGCAGCACCAGCAGCCACCCCTCCTCCGCCTCTCCCCTCATAGCCCTCCGCCTGCCCTTCCCCTCTCTCCGCCTGCTCTGGTGCGCACGCCTGTCCCTCCGCGTGCCCTCGCAGTACCTGGTGGGGGGGGCGCACTGGCGCGACCTGCTGCTTGCTGTCCAGCCTGGCGTGCTTATACCGAGGCCAGAGACTGAGCTCTTAGTGGATCTGGCTGTAGCGGGGATGGAGAAGGCTGAGGAGATGGAGAGAGGGGGGAGGGACAGGGAGGGTTTGGGGGAGAGGGAGGGTTTGGCGGGGAAGGAGATTTGGGCGGATCTGGGGACGGGGAGTGGGGCTATCGTTGTGGCTTTGGCTCGGGAATTACTCAAGAGGAGGGAGAAAAGGGAGCAGCAATGCAGGGAGGGCAGAGGAGAGAGGAGCGGGGATGGAGAGAGGAGAGGGGATGGAGAGAGGAGAGGGGATGGAGAGGGTGGGGGGATGGGAGAGCGAGGAGGGTTAGGAGAAGAGGTGGTGGTGGTGGCGGTGGATGCGAGTGCAGTGGCGTGTGAGGTGGCGACATTGAATGCGGCGAGATATGGGTTACAGGTGAGAATGCTGCCAAAACCCCTAAACCTGGTGGACGGGGAAGGGGAAGGGATGGGAGAGGAGGTGGTGGTATTGGTGGCGGACGCGAGTGCAGTCGTGTGTGAGGTGGCGGCATTGAATGCGGCGAGATACGGGCTACAGGTGAGATGCTACCAAAAACCATAACCTTACACCTTAAACCCTGAGTGCTAGTGCAGTGGCGTGAGGTGGCGGCATTGAATTGGGCGAGATACAGGCTGTAGGTTTAATTTCCCATATAAATCACTGCTCGCATTCTCATTAGGAATTTTCCAACCCACCCCACCCCATCCCATCCCATCCCATCCCATCCCACCCCACCCCACCCCACCCCACCCCACCCCACCCCACCCCACACCACCCCACCCCACCCCACCCCACCCCACCCCATCCCATCCCATCCCATCCCATCCTATCACCCTTCCGTCTCATCAGGAACGCGTATACGTGACATGCGGTGATTGGTTCATTCCTCTTTATACGAGCATGCGTGGTTTGTTGCATGGCATAGCGAGCAACCCCCCATACATCCCATGCCATCTGCTGCCCTCCCTGCTAACGCAGTTCCTCTCCTCACTCCCTTTCCAATTCTTCAGGAACACATACACGTGGCACATGGTGATTGGCCCGCGCTCCTCCATAAGATGGGCATGCATGGTAAATTGCATGGCATAGTGAGCAATCCCCCCTACATCCCATGCCACCTGCTGCCATCCCTGCTTACCAAGCTCTCCTCACCTCCTTCTCGTTCCATTCCACAGGAGCACATACACGTGGCGCGTGGTGATTGGTTTGCGCCCCTTCATGAAATGGGTATGCATGGTGGGTTGCATGGCATCGTGAGCAACCCTCCCTACATCCCATGCCACCTGCTGCCATCGCTGCAACCTGAGGTGCGGCTACATGAACCCTCCCTGGCCCTTGACGGAGATGCTTATAAGGAGGATGGGTACAGACCCAGTGCTGCTGATGCTGTGACTGCAGTTGCTGGTGGTGCTGGTGGTGCTGCTGCTGCTGCCACTGCTGCTGCCGATGGTGCTGCTGGTGATGATGATGTTACAAGTTCTGCTGCTCGTGTATCCAGTACTGTTGATGCTGATGCGGATGGTGATACCAACACGGATGGCACGGCATGCCTGCGCCACATTTGTCAGAATGCATCCACCTTCCTTCGCCCCTTCGGCTTCTTGGCACTTGAGGTAAGTCCCTCTTTTACCCAACGAGCCCAATCCTTCTCTCTGCTTTATCTGCTCTATATTCTTCAACAAACAAGGAAAACAGTTGCTCCGCTATTCCGTGTGCTGTTGATGCTTCACCTCTCTGATTCTTTTGTGCTTGTTTCCAGACTCATGGGTGGGGCCAAGCGGAGATTATTGCCGATGTGTTGGCCACTCAGAGATCGTCAGATGACAGGAGGTTGTATTGTGATGTACAAGTGGCCAAAGACTGGTATGGTGTTACACGATTTGTAACGGCGCACCGAACAGACGCACCATTGTAACAGTTGTGTTGATTATAATGAAGTTGGCATCGTGTACTTGCTAGGCCCATGATGAGGCGCAATTGTGGTGGGAGAAATGGCTGTGTGTTTGCTAGATACTAAATATGCAGCATCCAGGTGCCTTCATTCTAACCATGGACATTGTTGGGAGAGAACCAATACTGATTTAAAAGCTGTTAACTGTAAGTGTGTCAGATTTTGAAGTCAAGAAACAACCTTATATTATATGAAGGCAGATATTAGCGAAACCCGCGATTCCTTCCTCCTCGAACCCAAGATTCTCATCCTCGCTATGATCATGTATGTCACGCGACAGGTGACCTGATACAAGCGGGACCCATCAGTGATGTACCAAGGCTCGTTCCTGATCGAGGCGCAGATCGTTTCTGCTGCTGAGTGAGTGGCTCCGACCGTAGCTGCCACGTGGCTTGGAAATCACGTCAGAAGCGACTATAAATGCTGAGTCGACTCAACAGTCACCTCTGCTGCTGTCTCGTTCCGACGGTTAGGCGCGATCTAGCTTGAAGCGACAGAGGTCGCGACTCGAGGATCGAAGCTGGACTACCCTAGTTAATACCTGCTCTTAAAGCTTAACATTTTGTGACGGTTGCTCGACCAATCGGCTTTGGCGAAACAACGGTGCTGGCAATCGAGGCAGTAGCTGGATCCAAAAAGGATTTCTATCATGTTCGTTTCGGTGACAATGAGATAACATACCTGAATCAGACTGTAGCGAGATTCGATATAAGACGCCACGATGTTCGTACTAACGGAGATGGAGGATGACATTCGTGTCGCGCCTCACGACCTGCACCGCCCGCATTTGACGGCCGTCAGCTCGGAAATTAAAGCCAAGTATTTCGATAAGGTATGTATATGGGATAAGGCGGCGTTTGACAGCCGTCGGCTAAGATATTGATTTTCCCTTCCGATCCTGGTTCCTTCGTTCACCTCGCCTTGGCTCCCTTCCTATGTTCACCTCGCCTTGGCTCCCTTCCTATGTTCACCTCGCCTTGGCTCCCTTCCTATGTTCACCTCGCCTTGGCTCCCTTCCTATGTTCACCTCGCCTTGGCTCCCTTCCTATGTTCACCTCGCCTTGGCTCCCTTCCTATGTTCACCTCGCCTTGGCTCCCTTCCTATGTTCACCTCGCCTTGGCTCCCTTCCTATGTTCACCTCGCCTTGGCTCCCTTCCCTTCCTATGGTCTCGCCGTCCGAACCAGTAACTGCCACCCACGCGCCACCAGGTGCTACGTAGCGCGGGTCTCAGTATGCAAGAGAAGGGCAGCACGACATAAGATCTACAGAACGCTGGAGCCCTTCTCATGCATGCATACCCTCTGAACCCCACCCCACCCCTTTCTTTGCCAGTCGGCCCTTTCCTTTCCATCCGTGTCTGACTGCCCGATCCACAAAGCAGGTGCTGTGCAGAGTGGGTCCCTGTGGCCCTCTTCCCTCAAACGACTTTTGAGGCGCCTCAAATGCTGTGCAGAGTGGGTCCTTGTGGCCCTCTTCCCTCAAACGACTTTTGAGGCGCCTCAAATGCTGTGCAGAGTGGGTCCCTGTGGCCCTCTTCCCTCAAACCCTCCCTCTCTTTAACCATCAATGTTCCCCCAAACCACCAGGTGTTGTGCAACGTGGGTGGGTCTATGCATCTCGTTGCGCGACCTGCAGTCAGTGCAAGGGGTTGTTCATTCACCCCCTTTATTCATAACCCCCTTCGACTCATACCTTCCCATTTCTCCCGTCCCACACCAGGCGTTGCGCAACGTGGGTGGGTCTATGCGTCTCGTTGCGCGACCTGCAGACAGCGCAATAGGGGGGTTTATCAACCTCTTGAGATTTATATCCCTTACGTTCTGAATCACTTCCTTCTCTTTTGTAAACCCCCAACCGAGTCTCCCAGCAGGTGCTGCAAAACGTGGGTCTCTACATCTCGCTGCACGACCTGCAGTCAGTGCAAGGGGGGTTCATCTACCCCCCTTCGATTCGAACCCCCCTGTGTTTCCCCGCTGAAATATGCAACTGTCTCCCATCAGGTGCTGCAAAATGTGGGTCTCTACATCTCGCTGCACGACCTGCAATTAGTGGGGGGAGGAATCAATCATCGACCCCCTGTGATCCCCCCCTCTCGCTTTTCTTTGCCAATCCCCCCGTTCCACACCACATCAGGTGTTGCGTAACGTGGGTCTCTGCATTTCACTGCACGACCTGCAGGCAGTGGAAGGGGGTTTCATCTTCCCTTCCGACCCCGGCCCTCATTTCACTGTAACTTCCGTGCTTCATCCCACCACTATCCTTCCTCCATTCCACCTTTCTACCTTGTTCCCACCTTCCTGCACCTCCCGTCCACTTCCTTTTCATCTCCCTTCCACCTCCTTTCCACCTCCCCTGCATCTCCCTTCCACCTCCCTCCCACCTCCCTTCCATTTCCCTCCTCCCACCTCCCTTCCATTTCCCTCCTCCCACCTCCCTTCCATTTCCCTCCTCCCACCTCCCTTCCATTTCCCTCCTCCCACCTCCCTTCCATTTCCCTCCTCCCACCTCCCTTCCATTTCCCTCCTCCCACCTCCCTTCCATTTCCCTCCTCCCACCTCCCTTCCACCTCTTGTTCACCAGGCCCTCTCCTCCACACCACTCTCACTTACTCCCCTCTCACTTACTCCCCTCTCACTTTCTCCCCTCTCACTTTCTCCCCTCACTTACTCCCCCGTCCGGGCGTCCCAGCCTGATTCCTCTCCCCTTCTGTTCTTACCACACACACAACAGCTTACCTCCCTTATCAGCTCTCCCCATTTGCCCCTTTTGAGGCGCCTCAAAAGTAATTTCACCAAGCCCTCTCCTCCACACCACTCTCACTTACTCCCCCGTCCCTGCTTGATTCCTCTCCCCTTCTGTTCTTACCACACACACAACAGCTTACCTCCCTTACCAGCTCTCCCCATTTGCCCCTCCCCCGTTGCCCCTCCCTTTTTGTTTCTTGCATACATGTCAGTTTCGCTCTCGTCTTGTACTCTTCTCTCCTTGCTCCTCCTGCACTCTTCCATCCACCTATCTGTCTCTTCCTCCTTCTGTCCTCTTCCTCACTCATCTTGCCCGTTCCCTCCTTCCCCTACACACATCAAGTTCTCATTCCGCTTGTCGTCATTGCACTCTCACTTTCCCTCCGGGCCTCCCTTCTTCCCCCAGCTATCAATCTTCTTCTCCTCCTCCTCCTCCTCCTCCCTCCCTCTCGCCCTCCCACTCTCCTTTCTCACATCAGTTTCTCTACCGACTTGTTGTCTTGGAGGTGACTTTTTACTTTTGAGTCGACTCAAAAGCAGACTTGTTGTCTTCGAGGTGACTTTTTACTCGACTCAAAAGTCCCCTCCCACTCTCCTTTCTCGCATCAGTTTTTCTACCGTCTTCTCACTCTCACTTGCCCTCCTTTCTTCCCTCCCTCCATCTCTTCCCTTATTTCTCTTTTCTCCCTCCCTCTCACTCCCCGTTTCCCTTCCTTTCCCAAAGTGTACCTTTTTACTACAGACCCATAAGGTCGGCTATAGTGTTTTGAGACGTCTCAAAACATCCCTTCCTTTCCCAAAGTGTACCTTTTTACTACAGACCCATAAGGTCGGCTATAGTGTTTTGAGACGTCTCAAAACATCCCTTCCTTTCCCAAAGTGTACCTTTTTACTACAGACCCATAAGGTCGGCTATAGTGTTTTGAGACGTCTCAAAACATCCCTTCCTTTCCCAAAGTGTACCTTTTTACTACAGACCCATAAGGTCGGCTATAGTGTTTTGAGACGTCTCAAAACATCCCTTCCTTTCCCAAAGTGTACCTTTTTACTACAGACCCATAAGGTCGGCTATAGACTTGTGCCTCTTTCATCCTCAGCTGCCCTCCCTTCTTCCCCCCATCTATCCATCCAACCCTTTCCCCCTTTTTTTTTCTCAACACACACCCACCGGGAAAGTGCTGGTTGTGAGGCATCCCAGTAATCCCCTCCCCTCCTCCCAACCCCTCCCCTTGCCTCTCCGTTCACGCCCTATGGCCCCATCAGGTTCGCTTTCGACTGGTCGTCTTCTCACCATTCGCCGGGAAAGTACTGGTTGTGAGGCATCCCTATAATCCCCTCCCCTCCCTGCCGCCCCCTCCCACTGCCCCTTTCTTTCTCAACCTATGCCCCCATCAGGTTCGCTTCCGATTGGTCGTGTTCTCACCATTTGCCAGGAAAGTGCTTGTTGCGAGGCATCCCAATGACCCCGCCCCCCTCCTCCCTGCCACCCCCTCCCCTTACCCCTCCTTTCGCGGCCTATGCCCCAATCAGGTGCGCTTCCGACTTGTCGTGTTCTCTCCATTCGCCGGGGAAGTGCTTGTGGGCAGGCTGGTGAAGTGCGATGCCACGGGGCTGTTTGGTACGTTTGCATGCCCTGCCCGCTTGTTTTATGACTTTTTTATTGACTCAAGAAAAGATGCGGGGCAAAAAAAAAAAAAACTATGCAGGGAAGTGCCTGTGGGCAGGGAAGTGAAATGCTATGTCGCAGTGCCCCTGGCTCTTTGGTAAGTTGTCGAGTTCTTATGCGCTCGACTTTTGTCTCAGTTCACGCCGGGTCTCGTAGGCGTCTCAAATTTTTGCAAGGGAAGTGCTTGTGCGTGCGTAGGCTTCTGAGATGCAATGCAATGCAATGTTTGTTCCCATCGTGTACTTACGTGTTGAATGAGAGCACAAGGAAATTGAGGCATGTTTGTGAAACGCGATGCTACAGGCGTGTCTACTATGCGCACGTTCTTTCTGATCTGCTCAGTTGTTTTGCAACCTTGTCATGAGTGGTTCCTCTACTTGTTGTCTCTTCTCTGCATTTTTCCTTTCCACCCTCCCGCATTTTTGTAATTCTTTATCTGCAGTATCGCTGGATTTTTTCTCCGATGTACACATTCCTCACTACAACCTACAAGAGCCTTCAGTTTTGTGAGTATTAGCGGCTGAACATGCTTATGAATCACTACATTGTATGCTATGCATTGTGCATGTGTGCATTGCCTGCATGCCTGCATGTGTGCATGTGTGTTTTATGTGTATCTGTCAGACATGTCCGTCCACTTGGAATGATGATGTGAGTCATTCTCCTGTGCATAGTGAATGTATATATGGTTATATGCATGGGCGTGTGTGCTTGGGTAGTGCTGTAACACGTGTCTGGTTGTAATGATGGTGTGAGTGTATATGTCCATATTGAATTAGGAATACTGTCATCCCCTCTCTAATGTTTAGTGTCTGTTCGCCTCTTTCCCTTTTGACGTGCATCCTGCATGTGTGCCGCTGCATGTGTGTGTGCCGCTGCCTGTGTGTGTGCCGCTGCATGTGTGTGTGCCGCGGCATGTGTGTGTGCCGCTGCATGTCCGCCCATGTGCCTGTCAAACTGCCTGTGCCTGCATTCATATGCCCGCGTTCCCGAATGACAGTGATCAGTAGTTTGTTTTGAGACGTCTCATAACGCGCATGCCCTTGTGCCTATGCAGTAATGAGCAGGAGCAGGAGCAGCTGCGACTTTCAGTTGACTCAAAAGCGACCTGTCAACCTGCCTGCCTGTTTCTGCACACACACACACCCTTGTTCCTGCCCATGCAGTGACGAGCAGGAGAAGCTTTGGGTGTGGAAGTTCAACGACAATGACATGTTCCTGGACATGGATGAACTGGTAATGACTGGTGTTGACTGGCGTTGACTGGCAGTGCCAAAGTGCCATGTGGTCACTTCACATAGCAATGGAAGTTCAACGACAATGACATGTTCCTGGACATGGATGAATTGGTATGACTGGCGTTGACTGGCGTTGACTGGCGTTGACTAGCATTGACTGGTTGTGCTACAGTGCCAGCAATGGAAGTTCAACGACAATGACATGTTTCAAAACATGGATGAACTGGTATGAGTGATGCTGTGTTGAAGTGGGCTCTGACTGGCGTTGACTGGCATTGACTGACTGGCGTTGACTGGCATTGACTGACTGGCGTTGGCTGGCATTGACTGGCATTGACTGACTGGCGTTGACTGGCAGTGCCTCTCAATGCCATGTGGCAGCAATGGAATTTCAACAGCACGGACATGTTTCTTGACACGGATGAACTGGTATGGCTCGCGTTGACTAGCGTTGACTGCCAGCATCATTGACTAGTGTTAACTGGCATTGACTGGCATTAGGCACAGTTTTAATTGCTTAATGTCAAATGTCCCCCTCGCCGTACCCCTTTCCCCTCCTCGACTTACCCCCATAACCAGATTCGGTTCAAGGTGGTGAGTGTCAAGTATCCCCCACTGCCATTGGAGCAGGAGAAGTAGGAGCCACTGCAATGCCTGGACACCCCTTTGCTCCCCCCCATTTCCATCTCTGTCCCCTCTTACTTCTCCCATGTTCCCCTCCTCAACTTCCCGCAAACCAGATTCGGTTCAAGGGGTGAGTGTGAAGTATCCCCCACTGCCCGTGGAGCAGGATAAGGAAGCCAGTGCAATGCCTTCTCCCCCCCACTTCCATACCTACCCACTCCGCCCCTTCCGTTCCGCCCCCATCCCATTCTCAAACCAGATTCGGTTCAAGGTGGTGAGTGTGAAGTATCCCCCACTGTCGGTGGAGCAGGATAAGGGAGCCACTGCAATGCCTTCTCTCCCCACTTCCATACCTGCCCTGCCCCTTTGTTCCATCAGATTCGGTTCAAGGTGGTGAGTGTCAAGTACCCCGCACTGCCTGTGGAGCAGGATAAGGGCGCCACTGCCTTTGCAACTATGGAGATCGTTGTAAGAACCACTTCAAAAAAACAGCTCCCGTTATAGGAACCATGGAAGTTGTTTGTCTGCATTATTTTGAAAGCATCTACATGGCCACTGCACAAACCTCCATCGTTACATCACTCATGAGTCATGACTTATACCTCATCACTCATGCCTTATGCCCCATCATTCATGCCTTCAGCCTCATCACTCGTGCCTTATGCCCCATCATTCATGGCTAATGCCTCACCACTCATGCCTTATGCCTCACCACTCATGCCTTATGCCTCGTCACTCATGCCTTATGCCTCATCACTCATACTTATGCCTCATCACTCATGCCTTATGCCCCATCATTCATGACTTATACCTCATCACTCATGCCTTATGCCCCATCATTCATGCCTTAAGCCTCATCACTCATGCCTTATGCCCCATCATTCATGGCTAATGCCTCACCACTCATGCCTTATGCCTCACCACTCATGCCTTATGCTTCGTCACTCATGCCTTATGCCTCATCACTCATACTTATGCCTCATCACTCATGCCTTATGCCTCATGACGCATGGCTTATGCCTCATGACTCATGGATCCATAGCCCATGACCAACATAGATGCCTACTGCCTTACGATGTTTTTCATTAATTTGACTCCTCCCTCCACACCACAGGGTGACCCAAGTGTGATGTCCTTTACCTTAAGTTTTTTCTCAAGGTGGTTTATGAAGTGCAAGTTGGATTAATGCGGATTCGCTGTGCTTTGCGTGCGTGCAGGGTGATATTAACGGTGATGGGCTCGGCTTGCTCTCTTGGTGGTCGTAGGTGTTTCGACGGGCTTCTGAGCGGTGGTGGTGGGTGCTGCTGAGTAACGGATGTCGAAGTGATTATATGAGGTAGCTCTCGCCCATTATGGTGGGTGCTGTGTTGGAGCTATAGCCTATATGGTCTTCAGTGTAGTTAAAGTTGTTCTTGTGAATACTGCATCTTCACTCACTGTTTTGCGATAGGCATAATCTGACGGGAATGACATATGCAAGTGCCATCTATGACGATCATTTTTTAGATGGCACTTGAACATTAACAAAAGTGTGCCATTGCATTGGCGAATGACTCTTTAGAGAAATGTCCTTTCTTTCTTAGCCAGCCCTCGAAGCGTGACTTTTCGGAGTTTCCAACGGTCGGCTGCATGTGGTGCCATGCAATTGTCCTTAGTTCACAAGAAATCCACGGAGGACCCAGAGCTGCGAGCCCGCGTACTACGGTCGGGTAGGGTCATAGACGTTGCAAAACGTTATATGGCTGTTATCGAACGTTTAGGTAATGCTCAAATGACTTTCTGAAACCACGCTATCACATCCGACTTCTACTCATAAACCCCATCTTGTCACTATCTCAACCTTCACGCACCCTATATCACCCAGATTTAACCATGTACACCGTACTTGACTGTTTTCCAACACCCTGGAATCTCGACTTCACACACAGCCTCCCGTTTCGATTCGATTGAACCTCGAATATGCCTCGTCGATCTCGAATTCTCGAATTCCTCTGCTGTTTCCTCTCCTCCCCTCATCAGACCTCCCACGAAACGAACCCCAGCTGGGAGCGAGCAAGCCGTCCCACCCAAGTATGCTCGTATAAGACCCGAGTGTTGGTGCTAACATAAAGTCGCATATGCTTGTTGTCGGCGTTGCACCTCGCAGCAGCTTTCTCGCCCTCCAACCGCTTGGCTGTTCCGCCAAGCCTGTGTCTGCTCGCGCGCTCCCCCAACGGATTGTCGCCATGACTCTCGTACGCTTACTACCCTGCTCCTTACTTGCTTAACTTATATCGCGTACGATTCACCGAACGGTAGTGTGCGTTGCAACCGCTTGGCTGCCCCACCAAGGTTGCGTCTGCTTGTGCGCTCCCCCAGCGGATCGTCGCCATGACTCTCGTACGCTTCGATGCCTTCCATCCCTGCTCCTTACTTTCTTAACGCGTTCAATTTCCCGAACCGCAGTGTGCGTCGCAAGTCGTGTACTCGCGGACATAATGGCTTCACAGTCGAAGCGCTCGTAGCGCCGGCGAGATCGGAAGGTTCCACTCCACTTCCATCCTCACTCTCCGGATTCCGTGGTTCCTTGAATGCTAGATTGCGGATCTACTATTCTGACGGATTTCCGATTCTGACGGATATTCGATTCTGACGGATCTCCGTCTTTTTTAGAAGTTCGGGTGGATACTCCTGAGATGCCTCAAGCACACTGGCCTTATCGGATCTGTAAGCCCGTTTGTTCGCATCGGGTTCTGTCCGATAAGCACCACTTAGCATCAATCCGAACCCACTAGCACCGATTAGCACCGGCGTAGAGGCTGGGTATGAGGCCGAGATGCCTTGACGTCCCAGGGGTGAGGGCTTGAAGCGGGCAAGGAGCCGATCTGGCGTATTTTATGATGAATCTGGACTTTATTGACAAGCAACAATCAGCACCAATCAGCACCAATCAACACCAATTAGCACCAATTAGCACCGATTTTTGTCTTGTTGGAGGCTGGGTATTAGATGGCGATGCTTTGATGTTTCAGGGGTGAGGGTTTGAAGGGGGCAAGGAGCTGATCTGGCCTGTTTCATGAAGGATTCATAGCGGAAATTTCTGGATCTCAACACGTGTTTCCCATGAAGATCCCTTAGGCACAAATACCTTTGCATAAAGCCCCTTTCGCGAAAAAGAACCCTGAACCTTTCAGTCTCGAGTCAGGATGACGTTCTTTCGTGTAGACCACGTTACATACCGTATTCGTTTCAAACAACTCTACACTTCCCTCAAACCAATATCGCTCACAATAGTGGCCGAGTGCTTGGGCGTGAAAGGTGGGCAGTCGTTCTGGTTACCACCAGTTGCGTTCTGGTTACCACTGATCGATTCGATGCTCTCCTCCTCCCCTCTCCTTGCCCTCCCTCCTCTCCCACTCCGCCCTCCTGCCCACTTCCTTTCCGCAACTGCAGAAGCTCTACACCTCGCCGCACAACAAGAATGCCTACAAGGCGCTGATCGCGGCGCAATTCGTGGGCGTGAAGATCGAAGCGACCTGACGTGATCAGCCTTCAAAGTATACCTTCCGTTCCACTTCCCTCCCTCCCTTTCCTTCTCTCCCGTCCGCGTTATCTTTCTCCAGAAGCTCTACACCTCCCCGCACAACAAGAACGCGTACAAGGCGCTGATTGCGGCGCAATTTGTGGGCGTGAAGATCGAGATCCCGCCCTACCAATGGGGCGTCACGAACAAGTCGGAGGAGTTTTCAAAGCTCACCCCGATTGGCAAGGTACCCTGACCCACCTGTTGGCAAGGTAGGAGGGAAAGGTGAAGTGCGGTTTTAAGTGGTGAGTGACCAGCAATTTGGAAGATCGAGGACGAGGTGCCGCGCTTCCAGTGGGGCTCACTAACAAGTCGGAGGTTTCTTAAGCGTACTCCCATTGGTAAGGTACGATACCCACCACCAACCTATAGGTAAGGTACCTACCCAACCCACCAGCCAATGCTTGCGTGTGAAGATTGAACTCGCGCCCGTTCAGTGGGTTGGGCCGGCCCAAACAATCGGAGGAGTTTCTGAAACTCGCTCCCATTGGCAAGGTAGGGAAAGGACCAGGAAGAGCGTTTAAAGCCTAGGTGGGGAGTAAGAAGCCATTTGAGAGGGGCGGTAGAAGAGATTTTTTCGTTCCAGTGGGGCGTCTCCCGCAAGCAAGTTGGAGAAGTTTCTGAAGCTCACTCACACACCCATCGAAATCACTTTTAAGAATTCTCAGGAGTGATTTCAATATAGCAAGTTGGAGGAGCTTCTGAAGCTCACTCACACCCATCGGCAAGGTGAGGAAGAAGCATGACAGGCGGTTACTGGTAGTTCAAGTATTAATCAGGACGAGATCCCTTCCGTCTAGTGGGACGAAATGCCTTGCTCTCATGATGTCTGGTTTTATGCCCTCTAATGCTGTCCATTCTATGTTATGCTATGGTGTGTGCGGCAGATCCCTCTCATTGTCACTCCAGATGGGCCAATCTTCGAGAGCAACGCCATTGCCAGATACGGTAGGCTTCTGTTGCTGTTGCTCTTGGTGGCACGTCTGCTGTTATTTCTGCTGCTTTTGAGGCGGCCCAAAAGTAGATATGGTAGGCTGCTGTTGCTGCTGCTGTTGCTCTTGGTGGTACGTCGGTTGTTATTTCTGCTGCTGTGATGATGCTGCTATCGTTGTCGTGTTGCTGCTGAGTTTTGAGACGTCTCAAAGCATTTCTGCTCGAGTGACGATGCTGCTATCGGTGTCGTGGTGCTGCTGCTGTTGTTGTCCTTGCTGCCCACTATCTTCTCCCCTGGCTTTTCTATCAATCACCAACTACTCGCTTCACCAGCCGCTGCTTCTTCGTCCTTCTCCCCACATCCATAATCTCTCCTGCTGCGACAATGCTGTTGCTGTTGCTGTTGTATTGCTGCTGCATCTGTTCTTCCCCGCCCCCATCTACGTCCTTCACTTCTCTGTTCTCCTTTCAATCGCCAAGCTCTCTCTTCACCAGCCTCAGCCAGCCTCCCCCTCCCAGTTTCCCACATTCATATACTCTCCCACTGATATTGTGCTGTTGCTGCTGCTATCGTTGTGATGTTGCCGCCGCTGCTGTCGTTTTTCCCGTCCTTATCCGCTCTTCCATCAAATGTCAACCTCTCGTGTCACTAGCCTCAGCTGCCTCCTCCCTTCTCCCCACATCCGTTAACCCTCCCGCTTTCCTTCTGCAGTCGCCAGGCTAGCGGACAAGGGCCTGTTCGGGTCAAACGCGTACGAGCAGGTGAGCATGCAATGAGGGGCAGACCCTAAGATGATATCCTTTGCTGCTGCCCCACTAGTCGCCAGGCTAGCGGACAAGGGCCTGTTCGGGTCGAATGCGTACGAGCAGGTGAGCAGCATCTAAGCCCGAAATTTCATTAGGCAAGGCAAGTCAACAGTAGCCTTTTTTACGCCTTCTGCTGCCTCCCCACCCACCGTTGCCAGGCTAGAAGACAAGGGTTTGTTTGGGTCGAATGCGTATGAGCAGGTGAGCAGCAGCATTTAAGCCCAAACGGTAGGCCTCTGCGTCTAAAGGTAGGCAGGGCATGGCAAACGGTAGGCAAGGCATCGCAAGCGTCAAGTTTGCAGTAGCCACTCTGTCACTCTCTGCAGCTGCCCTGCCAGACCAGGCAAGTTGGGAAGTCTTAATAGCCAAAAATTAGAAGATTGTATGGTATTACTCTAGTTTTGCCGTGCTGGAAAGCAAAAATAATAGAATGTAGTCTCAACGGTTATATTGTTTACGTAATTAGTCGAACATAAGGTAATAAGTACTACTGTAGGGGAATAGCATACCATATGGGGATGGGGCATCGTGCGCACTAGTCCCGTGACAGTGCATCAACCATGATGGGCGGCCACGAACAAATTTGGTGGTATCTTCATGTTGGTGATCGCCACAAACTGCCTCGGTGTAGTTGAAAACATGAACACCGTTGGCACGCTTTCAACACACCGAGAAAGTTTGTGCCGGTCGTCAACATGAAGATACCACCAAACTTTTTTGTGGTCGCCGTGGTTGACGTACTGTCACGGGACTAGTGCACATGATTCCGCATCCTCGTATGACATGTTGTCCCGCTACAAGAGAGGTATGATCATATATTTGATTCATTACGTAAATCGTATTTTCGTAAAGACGATGTTCTACTTTTTTTTTGCTATCTAAAAAAGAAAACTATAATGATACCATGCAATCTTCTTAAACCTATTGCTTGTCTGCTTCAGCTGCCTGCGGCCTCGATGCAAGCGAGGTAATATTAGAACTTTTATAGAGTTTAATTCAGGAAATCAACCCATTCTGTAATAGTGGTTCAGCCTTCTTTGGTGCCCTCCGTGCCCTCTTACTGCTCTCAATGCTGCCCTCTGTGCTTCCCTTACCTCTTTCCGCCGATCAGGCACAACCAATGAGATCGACACTGTGTACCAGTGGATCGGCCCGCTCTACCAGTACAGAGCCTTATGTCATGCCTTAAATGCCCTCTCTGCTGCCCTCTCTGTTGCTCTCTCTGCTGCTCTCTCTGCTGCCCTCTCTTTCCTGCCTTTCACTCTCCCTTCATCAGGCTCAGGTGGAGCAGTGGATTGACTTCGCCACTAACGAGATCGACTCTCCTGTAACCCAGTGGATAGGGCCTCTCTACCAGTATGGCAACAGGATTCAAGAGGTACGGAGAGAGTTTACAGTATAAGATGAGGGCCGCAGTTATGTTGAAATCACTTTTGAGACTTCTCAAAAGTGATTCCACCAGTATGCCAACAGAATCCAAGAGGTACAGGAGAGTTTACAGTATAAGATCAATGCCGCTTGATCAGTTTGAAATCACTTTTGATACTTCTCAAAAAGTGATTTTACCAGTATTTCAAGAGGATTCAAGAGGTACGGGAGAGTTTACAGTATAAGATGAGGGCTGCTTTATCAGTTTCTATGGATGGATGAATGGAGTGAGCATCAAGGGTCGAAGAGGGCTGCTGTGCCCGCTGTCCTTCCCTTGTGAAATTGAGACCCCTGTCATGCCAGTCACCCCTGTCATGCCAGTCACCCCTGTCATGCCAGTCACCCTTGTCATGCCAGTCACCCCTGTCATGCCAGTCACCCCTGTCATGCCAGCAAGGTTCAAAAATACGGCAGTCGTAAATTACGGTCCGTAATTTACGGTTGTAATTTACGGTGGTTTTGGCAAAAATACGGCTGTTTTTTTGTTGGACTTTTTTTTTTACTTTTTATTTTTCTGAAACTTCTAGGCAGCTTACAACGATGACAAGGAAGCCTACAGGAAACTACACTACACTACCTAGGCAAATCTGCACCTAATCCCTCCTCTTCCTCCTCCCTCCTACTCCTCCTCCTCCTACTCCTCCTCCACCTCCTACTCCTCCACCTTCTCGTACTCCTCTCCTCCTCCACCTCCTACCCTTCCTCCTCCTCGTCGTCCTCCTCCTCCTCATCCTCCTCCTCCTCATCCTCCTCCTCCTCCCCACTCTCACCATCACTGCAGTCCCACGGCCAGACTGCCTTAGGACGCTTGGAGGGTCCTACCTCCCGCCCATTGCTCTCTGCCGCCTCCTCCTCCTCCTCCTCCTCCTCCTCCTCCTCCTCCTCCTCCTCCTCCTCCTCCTCCTCCTCCTCCTCCTCCTCCTCCTCCTCCTCCTCCACCACCTCCTCCTCCTCCTCCTCCTCCTCCTCCTCCTCCTCCTCCTCCTCCTCCTCCTCCTCCTCCTCCTCCTCCTCCTCCACACGCTTCTTTCCTCTCCCCTTCCGCTTGCATGGCCCCTTTCCCTTCTCCTTCCTCTTCCTCTTGGAGCTCTCTCCCGCGCGCTTCTTCTTGTTCTTCTTCTTCTTACCAATGCTCCCAAATACAGTCCAGTCGATGGTGCACTCTGCCACCTCGGCTCCCTCCTCCTCTTCAGCCCCACCTTCATCCTCTTCCACTGTTGCGGGCGGGGGCACGGGAATGCCCTCTTTGAGGGTTCCGTCGGTGAGATCAGCGTACAACTTCGCACGCGTCTGAGTTTTGCGATCAAACGCATCGCGGGCCCTCCTGGTGAAGGCCACGAAGGTGACATCAGTCATCTTCTTGGTCGCGATGCGGTTCCGATCCCGCCTTTGCACTCGTGCAAGGGCCGAAAAGTACCGCTCCACCTCGGACGAGGTGACGGGCTGTGATAGGGTCGTGACAGCCAGTTCTTGGAGCGCTTGCACTTCCCCACCGAAAATCCATCACCACTCCGCATCCGTCATGCGCCCCCCCTCCACCAAGGTCTTGGCTGCCCATAGCGCATCATCCGACCCGAGGCGGCCCTCACCCGTATGGAACTGCACCAGCTGTGTCTGCAGCTTGATGCGCTGGGCCACATTCCCCCCCCGGGCCTGAATCACCGCGTCGGCCCCCTTCCTTACCTCCGCATCGGTTCTCACCTCCCCCGCGTACTGGTTGCGGGGATTAAGAAGCCATCCCAGAGCATGCAGGGGGTTGTGGAGTTGCCCGTCCCATCGCCGGGCAAGGATGCCCTTGATGGATGCCATGAAGGTGCTCTTGTCCTTGGCCAAGAGCAGGCCCGTCTTCTTCATGAATACCGAGGCTGCTCACGGTGTGGATGGAGGAGTTTATTGTTAACATAGGGAATGGCACGCGCGGTGTGATCAAGCATGCAACACAGATTCGGAAGTAGGAATAGAACTAAACATAAAAGAGCTTTAGACTTACCGGCGGCCTCTGCAGCTTCCCGTGTCTTGACCGTGATATCAATCATGAGGCCATAGATTTGGCCCATGTCTTGTGCCCGCGTGTCAACCACCCTTAGAACTTCATAAACCGGCGTGAGGAGGCGGAGCACCGCAGTAACACAGTCCCAAAAGACGTCGTCAAGAAGAAGCGCCCGCACCTCCTGCCCTTCAGCCTTTTGCGCCACCGCCACCCCTTTCCATTCATGGCTGATGACCATGGCCTGGAGTGCCCCCTTCACCTCCAAGAAGCGGCGTATCATGATGACTTGAGTGCCGAACCATGTCGCACCCGGCCGCACCAATGAAAGCTTGGTAAAGAGCTCGCGGAATAGAACGATGGCGGAGGCACTACCCTTGATCATCATGAGGACTCGATGCACTTGCTCTAACACGCGTTTGACGGGCCCAACTTTCCCTAGGTTGTGAAGCATAAGATCCAAGGAGTGGGCGGCGCAGTTGGCGAAAAAAACCGAGGGAAACTCCTCCTTAAGCTTCTCAGCCGCGGATCGGTTGTTAGACGCATTGTCCATGATGACCTGGACCACGAGGTCCTTCCCCACTTCGAAGATCGAGTTCCCGATGAGACCCGCGAGGTAGTCTCTAGTTTTCTTAGCGGTTTTCGAGTCGACAATGTCCACAATGACGGGCGCGGTGTCGTTGTGGGCGATGACGCACACAATCCCGCGGGACTTCATGCACGTCCACCCGTCCACCGAGAGACTGCACCCGGTCGTCTTCCAACTCTCCTTCAACGGCCTTACAAGCTCCTCGGCGTCCGCCCTTAGCTTGTCGAGGAGAGAGTCGGACACCTTGTAAGGGGTTGGGAGTGTGTAGGGCTTCGCGAACACGACCGCCGCGTCAACGAAGGCTTGTAGCGCACGCAATTTGGAGACGTTGAAGGCTAGATCATTCTCTGCCACAATTGCCGCCCACAGGTAGTCCAAATGCGCGCGGGCAACGGTATCCGCCATATCGCGGATGTCCCGCTGCCTAGAACGCCTTGCGGGCTGCATCTCGACCGTGGTGGAGGTAGAGGCACGGTTGGAACTGGAAGGTGTGGAAGACCGATCCCTCCCGGCGGCTTCACGAAGCCGCTTGGCAAACTCGGACGGACACGGCGTCACGTTCTTCTCCCTTGAACGAGGGGTCCCGTAGATGTGCTCTCTAATACAAGTGGCATTTGGGGTCACGGTAGCAAGGCAATAGCTGCATGTCGCGGTGATTACGCCGCTAGGAGATGTAACCTTCGTCACGTGCTCCCACACCTCCGAGAAAGGTCTAACCATGGTGGAATACCGCAGATGGTTGAAGCTGTAAAATGCCTACTAAGAAGTACTTGTCGAGTAGGTTTATCGCCCTACTCTTTGTACCTTGCAAGACTTGGTTGTGTTGCTTTGGCGAATGGAAAAGGCGAAAGGGATGGGATGTGATGGGATGGAGATTGGACTAACGCTATTGGTTAAAATTGTTTCGCAGCGCAAAATTGGGTTGTGTCGCGCACGCGGGCGAAAATAACGACGGGGCCGCGAATCGTCCCACCGACCTGGCGAAACGGGTTGACGGGTGATAACGGTTCGCCAAATGTACAAATTACCGCATCGCGGAAATTTGTACATTTGCGCGTCGGCGAAATTCACAAACTGACATTTCGTAAGGGCGATAGAGCAGCACAACGTTCGCCAGAAAACAAAATTTCGCGCCTCGAGAAACACCTGACATGCGCGACTCGGGAAAAATACAAACACGTGTGCATTTGGCCGCACGAATGTCTCAAACCCAGGGCGACGGTTGGGAAATGTCGAAATTCGCTATTGCAAACCCGGTATCAAAATTTCGGTCGTAATTTACGACCGTATTTTTAAACCAACTTGAATTTACAATGATTGACCGTTTTTTACCGTAATTTACGACCGTAATTTACGATACCGTAATTTACGGTAAAAAATAAAAAATACGGTCGTAATTTTGAACCTTGCATGCCAGTCACCCCTGTCATGCCAGTCACCCCTGTCATGCCAGTCACCCAGTGTTGAGACGTCTCAAAACCCGCGTGACAGTAATCTAGTTTTGAGACAATCTCCAAATCAAAGAGGCCCGCTGTGCCCGCTGTCCTTCCCTTGTGAAATTGACACTCCTGTCACCCAGTGGATAGGGCCACTCTACCAGTATGGCCACAGGATTGAGGAGGTAAGGAAGGATTGGAACAGAGATAAGCGAAGCAGTATGAATACAGAATGAAGGAGTAAGGCAGGCAGGTTTTTGAGGCGCCTCAAAACGATTTTTGAGGCGCCTCAAAGATTGGAACAGAGATAAGCGAAGCAGTATGAATACAGAATCAAGGAGTAAGGCAGGCAGGGAGGATAGTACGTGGTTTGGTAGATTACTTTTGATTTCGTGTCGCAAGAGGGTGTTGTCCCTTTTGAGACACCAAATGTGCACTTCAGATTAAGGAAGGGTAATGTTGGGATGGAATGGAAGTGATATTGGATATGCCACGACAGATGTACCTTTAGCTCAAAAGTAATTGATATTGGATACGCCACGACAGACGTGACTTTTGAGTCGACTCATAAGTCATCTCGCCAACCACCCCTACCTGGTGGGCGAGCGGGTGACCACACCTTCTGATACCTCCCTCCTTCAACCAGCCCTTTGATACCCCTTGTCCTTCCCATTCCCTCCAACTCTTTTTCCCCCTTGTCAGGTGGAGGATAAGGCGATTGTGAACGCCAAGAGGGGCCTGGCGGCTCTCAACTCGCACCTCGCCGACCACACACCTACCTGGTGGGGGAGCAGCTCGTGTCATGTCCGTCTGATCCCTCCGACCAACCTTTGTTACCCCGTGGGCCTTGCCAGGTGGAAGAGAAGGCTATCGTAAACGCCAAGAGGGGCCTGGCGGCTCTGAACTCGCACCTCGCCGACCACACACCTACCTGGTGGGCGAGCGGGTGACATCATGTCATTCTGATCCCCTCCAACCAACCCTTGTTGCTCCCTTGCCAGGTGGAGGAGAAGGCGATTGTGAACGCCAAGAGGGGACTCGCAACACTCAACTCCCACCTCGCCGACCACACCTACCTGGTGCTCCTCCCACGTCCTTCTAATATTCCCACTCCCCTTTCCCCAAACCTCCCTGCCAGGTGGAGGAGAAGGCGATTGTGAACGCCAAGAGGGGCCTGGCGGCTCTGAACTCGCACCTCGCGGACCACACGTACCCCACCTGGTGGGGGAGCGCGTGACATCCTTCTGATCCCTCCAACCTTTGTTGCCCGATGCCCCCTTGGCAGGTGGAGGAGAAGGCAATTGTGAACGCCAAGCGAGGACTCGCAGCACTGAACTCGCACCTCGCCGACCACACGTACCTGGTGGGCGAGCGCGTGACGCTCGCTGACATCATCACAGTGTCGGTGCTGACGTCACCCATCCGGGGCCTGTGGAGTGAAGAGTTCATGCGGGATTACCCCCACGTGCAGCGCTACTTCTTTACTCTGGTTCACCAGAAGCAGTTCAAGGCTGTGATCGGGGACGTGGAGCAGGTGAGAGGGTTTGGGGGTTAACATGGTCAGCTGGCTGGGCAATTAGGTAGGTAGGTAAGTGCTAGGAGGAGGGATTACCCCCACGTGCAGCGCTACTTCTTTACTCTCGTGCACCAGAAGCAGTTCAAAGCAGTCATTGGGGACGTGGAGCAGGTGAGAGGAAGAGGGGGGAGGGAGGAGGTAACATGGTTAGCTGGCAGGTATGAAGAGGTATTACCCCCACGTGCAGCACTACTTCTTCACCCTGGTTCACCAGAAGCAGTTGAAGGCGGTGATTGGGGACGTGGAGCAGGTGAGAGGGCAAGTCACTATCGTATCATATGTAGGTTGGTATGCGGGATTACCCCCACGTGCAGCGCTACTTCTTCACCCTGGTTCACCAGATGCAGTTCAAGGCTGTGATTGGGGACGTGGAGCAGGTGAGAAGGGGTGAGGGTTAACATCGTTACCTGGCAGGTGGGCAGGTAGTGAAGAGTTCATGCGGGATTACCCCCACGTGTGCAGCGCTACTTCTTCACCCTGGTTCACCAGAAGCAGTTCAAGGCTTTTTTTCTCCCCCTTATCACAGAGATCGCCGAGCCAAGGTGCCCACGGAAAGCAGGACTCCCCCCTCTTCAAACTCATGAATCCCAAACAGGACCAGAGGCACCAGCACTCACTCTCCCATATTTTCCTTCCTTCCCCTCATCCTTTCTGCCCATCCCCTTCGTTTTCCTCTCATCCCACTCAGATCGCCAAGGTACCCACAGAGATCGTCAAGTGGGAGGACTCGCCCCTCTTCAAACTCACGAAGCCAAAGCAGGGCGACACAGCAGCACCCAACTTTATCCCTTCCTTTCCTTCCCAACCTTCCCCCCTTCTTCTTTGTTTCCGCCATGAAGCCCAAACAGGACGACAAAGCAGCACTCACTTCTTGTCTCTTCCTTCCATTTCCTCCCCTCCCATTCAGATCGCCAAGGTGCCCACGGAAATCGTCAAGTGGGAGGACTCCCCCCTCTTCAAACTCATGAAGCCCAAACAGGACGACAAAGCAGCACTCACTTCTTGTCTCTTCCTTCCTTTTCCTCCCCTCCCATTCAGATCGCCAAGGTGCCCACGGAAATCGTCAAGTGGGAGGACTCCCCCCTCTTCAAACTCATGAAGCCCAAACAGGACGACAAAGCAGCAGCACCCGCAGCAGCAGCAGCAGCACCAGCGGGAGGGGGTGAGGGGGAGGAGGGGGCGCCCAAGCCCAAGGCAAAGAACCCTCTTGACCTTCTGCCTGCCAGCCCCATGGTGCTGGATGTGTGGAAGCGACTCTACTCCAACACCAAGGCCAATAATTTCAGAGAGGTGGCCATTAAAGGTGAGCTCGTGTGAGCAATAAAAGGTGAGTGCGGAACCCAATGTGAGTGGCAGCAGCGGGGGGGGGGGGGGAGGGGGGTGAGGGGGAGGAGGGGGCGCCCAAGCCCAAGGCAAAGAACCCTCTAGATCTGCTTCCGCCCAGCCCCATGGTGCTGGATGCATGGAAGCGACTCTACTCCAACACCAAGGCTAACAACTTGAGAGAAGTGGCGATCAAAGGTGAGAGAGACATAAGACTGAGTGGTGAGGAGGGTCAAGGCAAAGAACCCTCTTGACCTGCTGCCTCCCAACCCCATGGTGCTGGATGCGTGGAAGCGATTGTATTCCAACACCAAGGCGAACAACTTCAGAGAAGTGGCGATCAAAGGTGGGATTTCTGTTTTGAGTCGACTCATAACTAGAGTAAGTGAGGGTGAGAGGTGAGGTGGCATGAGCAAGCAGGGGAAGGGACCCCTTTTTTGTCACATGGTGCTGGATGCATGGAAGCAGCTTCACTCCAACACCAAGACGAAGAACCGTTTAGATCTGCTTCCGCCTAGCCCCATGCTGCTGGATGCATGGAACCGGTTCACTCCAACACCAAGGCTTGTGCATCTCACGTGCCCATGCGCTCTCCCCCCTCTCTCCCTCCCACACAGGCTTTTGGGACTTGTTCGACCCCGAAGGTTACTCCCTCTGGTTCTGCGATTACAATATCATCTTCCTCTCATTCCTTGCTCCCACTCTCTCGCACATGCTCTCCCCCTGTCTCCCTCCCACCCAGGTATTTTAAGGGACATGTTCGACCAATAAGGTTTCTCCCTCTGGTTCTGGGACTACAAGTTTAACGACGAGACGCCATGAAGTTTGTGACGCTTTGCATCTCATTGCATCCATCCGTACCACACTCTATTACCCCACCACACCAGGTTTCTGGGACATGCTCGACCCCGGAGGTTACTCCCTCTGGTTCTGCGATTACAAGTTTAACTTTGTCTCATTTGTTCCTCCCACTTACTCTCACATGCTTCTCCCACCCCACACACACCAGGCTTCTGGGAAATGTTTGATCCCGAGGGCTACTCTCTCTGGTTCTGCGACTACAAGTTTAACAACGAGAACACGGTCAAGTTTGTTACTCTTTGCATCTCATTGTATCCATCCGTACCGCACTCAACTACCCTGTCACACCAGGCTTCTGGGAAATGTTTGATCCCGAGGGCTACTCTCTCTGGTTCTGCGACTACAAGTTTAACGACGAGAACACGGTGAAATTCGTGACGCTTAACAAAGTGTCGGGGTTCCTACAGCGCATGGACCTCGCGCGCAAGTACGCGTTTGCCAAGATGTGCATTCTGGGACCGGACGAGGGGCCGTTTGTCATCAAGGGCGTGTGGCTGTTCCGCGGGAGCGAGGTGCCGCCGTTTGTCATGGAGGAGTGCTACGACTGCGAGCTGTATGAGTGGAGCAAGGTTAGTGTGAGAAAGAGGGTGAAAGAAACGGGCAGGACGGGGAAATCGTAGTTGGATTTGGGCGGTGGGGCAGGTGGGGCGAGGGAGGTGGGGCGAGGGAGGTGGGGGTGGGTTGAGGCAAGTACGCGTTTGCCAAGATGTGCATTCTCGGGCCGGACGAGGGGCCGTTTGTGATCAAGGGCGTGTGGCTGTTCCGCATGAGCGAGGTGCCGCCGTTTGTCATGGAGGAGTGCTACGACTGCGAGTTGTACGAGTGGAGCAAGGTGAGAAGCGGAATAGTGGGAGAATGAGAGGGAGAGAGGGATGCAGGAAGAGGGGAGCGAGGTGCCGCCGTTTGTCATGGAGGAGTGCTACGACTGCGAGCTGTATGAGTGGAGCAATGTGAGAAGAGAGCTGATTGTTTTAGGTACCTGCTGAGGCACCCTGTTGACTTTCATCCCTTCGTGCTACTCTCATTCCTCTTGCTAACATAAGTTCTTTCACAAGGGCCAATCAATCCCCCTTCGAGAATTCTCATACCGTGATTCCATGCATCCTTCGCTTCTCTTCTGCACCTTCCTCCTCTCTGCTCTGGTCTGTTTCCCTTATGCCTGCTGTATCGCACCACACTTCACTTGTGTGCGTTGCTTTGTTGCTTTCCAGGTGGACCTGAGCAATGAGGCACAGAAGGAGCGTGTGAATGCATACTTACACTTGTGTCTGCTGTATTGCACTCCACCCCTCTCCACTGCTCCCCACTGATGTGCGTTGCTTTGTTGCTTTTCAGGTGGACCTGAGTGACGAGGCACAGAAGGAGCGTGTGAATGCTTACTTTGAGGAGCCCGATGAGGTTGATGGGCTCAAGCTGCAGGAGGCCAAGTGCTTCAAGTAGATTTGCCTACCTTTTGAGCGAAGCTGCAAGTACAGATGCATGCATCTACTGCTGCAGCAAGCAGAGATGCAAGAATGTTCCAAAATAGTGCTTGGATTCATCCAAGTAGCAGCTTGCTTTGTGGCACTGTTGCCAGTTGTCGCTAGCCTCATCTACGGTAGAGTGTCGTTCTGTGGGAATGTTGTGTTGGCTATGATTAGAAAGAGCCAGTGTTTTTAGGTACCACAAACTATCGTTCCAGATGGTGGTGAACTTGGTACACTTCCACAACATACAAGCAAGTAAGAACTAAACTATAGCACTTACTGCAATCATAGACCATCCAACAACACTACCACATGGGAACCTAAGCCTGCATTACCCTGGTTCTGCCCCTTCTTAGTATTTTATGATACGGTTACCATAACACTTTTTTTCGTTGACTACCTGTCAAGTGATTTTGATCCATTTTACAGCATAAGGTGCTACTAGTGTGGTTCAAAAAGCACAGCAGCTCAGATTGGCTGGCTTTACTTCAAGAGACTTAGAAGCGAACACCAGCACTCAGCCTCTACCTAGTCGTAGCTTGAATTCAGGAAGCGCAGCAGCTCAGAACGATTAGCTTCAGCTACCTTGTCGTCCTTTGTCTTATCCACCTTCATGCGAATCTGAACAAAGAGGCAAATTGAAGAAAACCAAACAAGCAGATCGAAGCTTGTCTTGATGTATGTAAGTGAAGCTGAGAAGGAAGGAACCACTGGCCTCCACTGGCTTTACTTAATGAATTCAGAACTTAATTCACTCGGCTCAGCTGTTAACTTCATGTGTCCAGTTACTAACGTACCTTCTTGCCAGATATGACACTGTAGCGTGTGGAGCCATCGTCACGACCAAGGAACTGGGGAGAATTGGCAAAAAGGAAGTGAAGGGAAAGGAACATTGCAAAGCGATGAGTGCTCAACCTCAGATGATTTGGAGAAGATGTCACAAACACAAAATGCGGGATAGGAAAAAGATAACAGTGGGACCAGGGAAAAAAAAAAACTTCAATATCCAAAACAGGAGGTTTAATATTTGTATTGCTGGAAATCATAGCCGCACCCAAACCAGCAAAAAAAATGATTTCCAAGAGAAACTGACCTGTGAGAGCTGCACTGGGCCTGGTGTTGCTTCACCAGAAGATTTGGATCCCTTCTGAATAATGAGAAGACGAACACAACAATTTAGTGCATCAACGAAACAAAAACGACACGGGCAAGGGTGCATTCAGATGAAGATAATCCACACAGGAACGGAGAATAAGAACACATTTGCAGCGGTGAAGCAGGTCGGTGAACCGGGTAGAAGCTCAAGCAAGAGTTAGCAGGATTGTGTTGAAGAATTCCAAGGCCGAAAGCAGTCGACGTAAGGAGTTGCACTCGAGAAGTAGACAGGATGATGGCACATGACACGGTCCACGTGACATGGCGCCACAATGGGAGCTCCAGTGAGGAGAGATTTATAGATGGTATAGAGACGATCAGGGGATGTGACATGCATGCACGTCCAACACCCACCAGACGGGCATGCAAAAAAAGCACATGCAAGCACACATACACACACACGGACAGGAAAACGGTCAGCATGCAGAACAGAAGGGAAAAGAACAGGGAAAGTTTAGCAAGTTGACACAACCGTTCTTCAATTGAATACAGAAATTGGTTAGCAGCATTTGGCAAAAAGACGTGCTTGCAAGGCATAACTACATACATGATACATAGGCATGTATTCACACAGCTTCAACACAACTAAGTACCTTGTCTGATGATCGCCTTTTGCTTTTGCCCTTCTTGTCCGACCGCCTGTCCCTGCTGGATCGGCGACGGTCACGACGGCTGCTACTCTTCTTCTGTTCCTCCTCGTTCATCCTTCCCGTGCACGCGTACGCATCCCAGCGACTCCATTGCATCCACACCGCACCCATCCCAAACCCCATCCAGTCCAGTCACCCCGTAAAATAAAAGAACCAGTATAAGCAGCTTTAGAATAGCAGAACATTGGGATACTATATTAGGAAGCAAGAAATGGTACAACGGAAAGGTACTGTGTAAGATATCCTTGATAAAAAACAAACAAACAAAGAAACAAAGAAAATCACGAAAATACTAGTTTCTTCGAGGTTGTAAGCCCTTAACGACACACAGAGGCAATTGACAAATTACATTAACCTAAACTTATACTGGGCGAATTAAGGTACATTAAGACATCCCAAGAGCAATTAAGATAATATACCTTGCTGCCGGATGTCTTAGACAATCTTGACTTCCGTTTACTCCTGTCGTCTTCACTGGAATATCTGTCCTCCGATCCATCGCTATCGCTGCTGCTGTTCGAACGATTCCTGAAAGGAGAAAATATAGAGACAAAAGGTAAAAAAGGACGACTGGGCGGAAGGAATAACTCGGAAACATCATAAGAGTGGGATTTCGGGACACCATGGGAATAAGAAGCTTTGACAAAAACGGACACTCACCTATTTCGACTCTTCCCCTCTTTATCTCGCGGTTTCTTCCTCCTGCTGATCTCGCTCTCGTCGCTGCTGTATCCACTGCTTGAAGCTTCTAATCCGCTGTCATCGCTGCCGTCGCTGGAGTCGCTGGAGTCGCTGGATTCGCGTCGTCGTCGCTTACGACGCTTCTGCTCGCGATCCTTCCTGTCCTTCTTTTCGATCCGAGGCTTATCCTCCTTGCTCAAGCTCCTTCTCTTCCGGTCTCGCTTATCTTCCCGACGGTCCTCCTCTTCACTAGAGCTGGAAACCGCCATGATTTTGATTTAGAAACGGCCAGCAAACAATTTCCAGAAATAATGAGCACCGGAACTTCCCAGTAAGCTCGTCTGAAGGACGTCACTGAGTCTAGGTGATCACAAGATGCTGAGGCACTCTTCAAGATAAAGGCGTCACAATTTTTCGTACACCTCCACTTGCACCAGACTCATTGGCGCGGACGAATGATTCGAAGTACGCCTAAAAGATTTGTAGTAGGAGCCTCATGAGAAACTCGGCCAGCGCTCAATGGCTAGGTGTTGAAACGGACTTGCGTCGTTATCCATCACGTCCATCAACTTTAGGTTTTGTTTAGGGCGTGTTTCCATTGTCCTTGATATTGTTTTGTCAAGACACCTGTGACCAGTTGTCAATCTGCAGTCGGTGAAAAATACACATGAAACCCGAACATAGCAATGTTCGGGTTTCATGTGTTTTGCAAGGTACGGTTCGCACGAAAGGTTCAGGATATGAAGAACATGAAGCGCCATACACGCAGGGTTCACGGTTCAGGTTACGGAATGTGACTGCGGACACGATTTTGTTGAAGGACATTGGCAAAGTTAAGTGTGCAGAAGTGACGAAGTTCGTTCGGAATGATTGGTTGGGGTGAGGCTCACGGCACTCACTGCGGTCTGGCTCAAACCACCACACACAGTTCGAGAACACGCCCTCTATTTCCGTCATCAATTACCCTACTTCTATCCTCTTCAAAGAATCATATGCGTTTTCTTTCTGCTTCATTGGAAAACATCCTTGCCACCATTCACTGACGAAATGGGGGACTTCTCAGGTTAGTCGTCAAACATTGAGGATATAATCGATGTGTGTGCAGCCTAATGGTCATGTTTTCATTCAGATAAAGTTTCCACTGAACTTGAGCGTGGAACGATGGCGCTAGTGCCATGGATGGGAAACCATTCACCCCCGGGATTCGAGGAAGTACATCCAGACGGGTTATCGGAAAAAAGGTACGATGTCGAAAACGATGTCTTTCAATGCAACTTGTCCTTAAACGCTGCATTGTGCTTTTCAGCGAATGCAGAGGAGATAGACATCGTGCATTTCTGAAGCCTCTTAAGGCTTCGGAGGTGTATTCCAGTGGCATTACGCTCCAAAGGTGCAGCAATATGTCGCTGACTCAACCTGCGACGAGCGTGGACAACGAACGTAAACGCAAGCAACCGAGCGGCCAGGAAAATTGTCAGCCTCTTACTCTGATACGTCGTGACCGTTCAAGTGACCCCCGCGGAAAAAACGAACGACATGTTGAGCTCTCATTAAACGACACTGACAGCGGAAAGAAGCGCCAGAATCGCACAAAGCGAAGCAGGTGAGTGCTTCACGAATTCAATCAGGATAATACCTCCTAAACAAAATGACTTATTCTGCAGATGGAGTGGTGAGCTTACATCGGCCTCTGCTGGTAAGTGTATGCATTACATGGCTGACATGTGGATAGTCATTGTAACGCAGCGCCGGTTGCCAATATTCGTTCAGCATTGTCATATCGCACTGTGAGCTGTGTCTACATGCCAGGATCCAGTCGCAGAGAGCGGGACATGGAGAGGCTTGAAGTAAGCATAAGCTTGACAACATAAATCACCATAATGATTTACTTGAAAGTTTGTGTACAGAATCGAAATAACCACCTTAATGCAGAGCGCACGAGCTGAAAACCCCAAGAAGGCACAACGAATATTGGCAAATCGACAATCAGCGGAAAGATCTCGCTTACGAAGGCTCAATGCCATCTCAACGTTATCAGAAGAGGTGACACCCCAATGGTTGTCCTGCAGCTATCTTTTCAATTGCGTTACAGCAGCCCATTCATGTCTGGCCTGCACTACAACAGGTCTCTCAGCTCAAATCTGAGAAAGCACAAATGCAGACTGAAATGGCACAGCTCAAGGTAAGCATTGTATTGGTGTGTCATGCCACCTGTCCTGTTGCTGAATGTGCTGGTCGCTTGTGCAGGAGTCATTAATGGTTGTTAGTACAAAGACACATGAACTTGCAGAAGCCTTGAATGCTAAGACAGCACTGATTGATGTAAGCACTACTATATCAAGGTCCAGTTATTGAAGCTGATATTGGGTTATCTGCTTATGTTCTGGCATTCACGTAGGCCCTCAAGGAAGCGCTAACAAGCTCCGGACAAGTTGATATCTTCACTAGCTGCTTTGAAGCGGTCCATCAGGTTGCTGGGCACGTGTGA